AAGAGAGATGATTATCATATTTAACTTTATCGTTCCTCTGCGAACAGACTGAGAGAACGTTTTGTAAATCAGGACAAATTCCACCCGCTTTCCAACACTCTGAGATTTTCTTCTTATCAACCGGTCGCCAGAATTTGGAGTGACTTAACTGATGGAATAATGATACTAATGATCCATGGATGATTATAGATTTGCACTGGCATGTCGTTAAACCTGATAAAACTCAAGTCATTGATATTATATTGTCCTTAGCTGCTTAATTCAGGTAGAAGATTGTTTTTCAAGATAAGTATAAATATAAATTGGAAAATAAAAAAAGTATATTGAATGATATCAGCTATGAAAAAATAATTTGCTTTTACTGGGAGACATTTGGTAATTCTTTTATCATGAATATTCAATTAAAGTCTGAAGGAGCTCAACCTGTACCAATGGGAACTAAAAATGGAATAAGCATATGTAATCTCCTGAGGGAGTTTGAAAGAGGGATAAAGCGTGAAAGAAGATCCTAAGCCATGGAATTATGACGAACAGAAAGGAGGATTCTTGAATTTGCGAACTCAATGACCAAGAAAAAAAAAAAAACTCAAAGATCATTTGCACATATTTGAAATTAAGGATTTGAGGGGGGGCGAGGTGGGAGTGATTTGCTTAGGTACAGAATATCTAAGAAAGTTCATATACAGACATGATACCATGTTGAAGAACGAACTATGCGTAGAAATAGACGTAGGTGGAAGGAAATTTACACCCAAATGCACAAAAAATATAGAGAATAGATACCAACCCTCTGTAACCTAAATAAATCACTAAAATTGCAGCTTGTGAACAATAACAAGGCATTCTAGTTAAGAAAAGAGACGCCATTCCTTAGATGAAGCGAAGAGAAATAGGGAAAGAAACTTTGCAGAAGCAATTTCTCAAACCTTACCAATGAAGAGAATAGTATCTTAGACCATGACTGCAATCATAGAGATACATAACTTTAATGGAAAAAATACCCTAGGGAAGAAAGTGGATTTATCTTGTGGACAGGTGATTCTTTATTTTCGGCTTCTCAGTTTTTAAACATAAAGAATGAGCCTTTTGGCAATTAGCCAATCTGAGACAAAGTTCAAGGCATTCTCGCTGACTGCATAAAAATGAAAAAAGATACTAGAAGCACTGCGCGGGCAATGACTCTCCAAGTTTTGAGGGAGCAAATACCGTGCACTAAGAAAAACGTTATTATAGTGTATAGTATCCACTTGAGCTGAATGCCTGCGTGAGCTGTTGACCAGAAATATAAACAAAAAGGAACTCAAAACACAATAAGAAAATGAGAAAAAAGTTAAGGGAAGTACTCAGATATTGATCTTGAGTGAACAACAGAGGATCACATGCGCAAGTCTTCCTTCATTACCGACTCCCCTGAACTGGTAGTACTGACTATGACTACTGTAAGAGACTTTATGTGCACGTCAAACGCTAGTAGCAGTGCCTTAACCCTCTTTATATCCTAAGACCAAAAGTCGAGGGCAATTGACAGGCTTTTTGAAACTTGTCGAGCGATAATTATCATCGAACAATCCAAAAGGAGAACCCTTATGTATACAGATATACATACAAATTGTCAAATCAACCTATGCACAACATAGTTTCAAAAGGGTTGTTAACCCCGATAAATCCACTCTGTAGATTGCAGAAACCTTACTTGAAAATCTTGGTGAAGATGTCTGATGTGTTTCATTAACATAACGTTGATGACATGATGAGGCAGGACAGGAAAGAGTTTAATATGGATTTCATTAATCCAAGATTCAAGAGACAGAGAAAGCAAGAGGAAATTCAGGGTGGATCCAGTTTATAAAGGTCCGATACGAGGAAAAAAAAGATTCAACCAAATTTTTTATATGTCAAACCAAAATTATTCCTTCTTCACACAGAGAGCCAAAGTTCTTAAATTGGAAAAGACAACCAAATAAGCAGTCTTTCTTTCGCAATTAAAACAAACGCCAACAAAACACAAACCACCATGCGAAAATCGCCAGAAAAGCAGTTACCAAAATTTGAAAGAAAACTTGTGCAGCCATATGTGGCGCATAAACGTTAAATAACAAGTCACTCAACATGTCATAATGTTAAAAATCAAATTCCCAAAAACTTACACTGGATATCAAACATTAAAAACATAAAAACACAATAAAGAGAAAGCTAAAACGCAACCCTGATTACATTTAAAAAAAATAGCTCAACAAAGAGATATTATCAATGAGAAAAAATTTATCTTTGATCGAAATAATTAAGTTCAGTTAAAGAAATAATTTATTTATTTATACATTCGATAAAGCAAAGTTGTAGGCTCTTGGATGGGCTTTACTATTGTAAATTTTGTGGAAATCATCTTCAAGATAATCTGGGTATGAAGCCCCAGCTAAAGCCTGAAACTCTGCAAACTTCATTGAACACGCCCGATAAATACCCTAGAAGAGAAGAAAAAACACAATAAATGCGATCGTACAAAACTTATCGATCTCACAACGTAAATCGAAAACGACAGGAGAAACTTCCGTTCGAAAAGGAAAAATTTGGGAATATTAACTAGTTGAGAGGATTTTGTTTAATAATATAATATGTCAGCAATCACCCAGTGGCTGTGTGGATTGGCACAAGCCAAAGTAATATCGTGCAGTCCGCAAACACTAGAAACCTCCACATGTATGTTCCACATATATGTTCTGCCCAGTAAAAGTATAGGCTGTTGACATTACATTTCCATCTCCGGAAAAAATCTCCACTGAAAGCTTTCTCGCCTCGCGGTTAGGTTTTTGTAATTCTCCCTGATTTCAATCTCAATTGTGCTTTGAGGAACTTCTCACGGTGGGCAATCTAGGGTTTGATATTATCTGAAAGATTCACTGTGTATAGTTAAATACTGATCCTTGTTTGATCAGTTGTTTTGTATCCGATTATTTTGCCTGTTAATTCGGTATTTGAGAGTTAAATATCTTGGCTCACTAATAAGATATCGTGAGCTGAGATATGAGACAAAATCATTGATCATCGCTCCATTTCCGCAGCTAGCACCCTGCTCTTTTTTTTTCTTTTTTTTTAACTATAATTTGTTTCTGATGGCTTATTGGTTTAAATATAATCGATGCCAAGGTCGGTTATGTTTTTTTTTATTGCTTGCTGGACGTGAATTGTTGTTTGCAACGTTTGAAGTTTTGAATTAACTTGTGAGTTTTAGATGTCAATGAATTGATTGATGGTCATGTTTTTATATGCATTTTTGATTCTGCTTTCTTGTTGTTTGGAAAGTATTGAGGCAGAAAGACGTTCTGCTCTTTATTGCCTTCGTCTATGTCTCTCTGTTTTTTTTTTTCCCTTTGGAGAAGTAATGGTTGAATCCATACGTAATTTCTTAATGAAAACAAGCAATGAGGGCTTTGAAGTTTGTTGACTATGGGTGAGGTGTTCTGTTTTGTAGGTTTTTGAAAGGAAAGTCTAAATCAATGAATGCTGTAACTTTTTTTTGTTTTTTTTGGAAGCTTACGTCTTTTTTTAGGGTTTATGCTTGTCTGAAAATTCAAGAAAGAAGAGGAAAGGGTTATTTTGGTGATTCCTTTTTGGTGGATTGGGCCTTGGATGGACTTTTCGGGAAAGTGCGGGGGTTTGAATGTCTGGTCCTATGGGCGGAAGGGAAGTCCATTTGATGAAGCCTTCCTACAGCTCCTTTTGTGGAATGTTTCCACTAATGTTCAGGGTTAATATGGAAAATCCATTTCCTGACATCTCCCGTCAGCTTTTCCTCCAAGCATCAAGCTCAGACTCAAAATTTCGAAGGGGGACCAAATATTGAAGAAATAATATTCAGATGAATGAAAAGAAGTGTTTAAGAAAAAGAAAGAGAATCCTAGAATCCATGCGTAGGTCAAGCATAGCAGCCAGAGATGCTGTCGTAAGACCGATGAAGATGGATGAATTGAAGTGAAGGTGCAGTATTGCAAATTCATTTTATGATCCATTGTGCCTGTGTATGCTCAGATCCTTGATTAAGTCTTAGGAAAATGGCTTGTCTTTTCTTAGTTTTACAGATAGAGAGCATAAAAACATTTTGCAGTACAGAAAATGGCCGAATAAACGAAGGTTCACTATGACCATGGAGCAGTCAGCCCTCGAAAAGGCAGTTCACTTGTCAAAAGCTCTTACCTGTCACATATTGGGGTGGTGATGGATGCTTACTATACATCATCAATGACTAGAGACGGGAGGATGGAGTGAGTGGGTTTCTTTTAAGCAAGTGACTGGTTAATATGCTTTGGTCTTGTCCCACCTAAGTTGGCCTCTTGAACTTAGTGTGATCATTTGAAGATACGCAAGAGAACTGATAGTTCTACGTAGGCAACAACTCAAGTAGATTTCTAGGTGGGTACTTCTACAACAAGGTAACTAGTGTTATTTGATATGAATTCCTTCCTGAGAATAAAATCTACATTTTGTTATTTGGTTTCTATGTAATTAGGGATCGGACAGTTTCCTTGATGTAGAATTGAATTTTACAAGGGTCATGACTTTTACGAGGAATCTCAACTTCAGAGGTAAGGTGAATACAATGCAGACCTGTGCATAATCTTCACGAAAGGTATGGAGGATTATATTATTTTATTTGTAAATTGATATACTCTTATATGCATTCTCAAATGGATTGAGTGTATAATATTTGGTTGCTTGTCCCACTTAGATGGAGCTTGCTGGTTTTGAAGAAGCTGGAATGGAAATGTACGTAGAAAGTATCTTCCTGATGGAATGTGCAATTTCAAGTGGCCATAGATGGTGTGGGTAAGTTTTTTTTTTTTGTTTTTTTTTTTTTTTTTTTTTTTTTTTTTAAATTTCCTTTTGAATCTCTCATTTGCTTGTGTTCATTATCAGGCTTCAGTTCTGATTGGCTTGAATTGTGATCTTATGGAGTTGCTTCTCATTGTAAGATATGTATTGCCAATGGCTGAAGCATCTTTTCTGCTGTGATGCTGTTGCTTTCTAGTTTATATGGAATCCTGCTGTGGATATTTGCATAAATTAGCATGAGGAGATGCATTGCATGTAATACCCGGAATATTCTTAAGTTTCATTTCATGAGACTTTGTGTTAAAGTTGTGCGGGTTTTGGAAACTAATATCTAGCATGATTATGATGATGGATGTCATCAATCAGTCAATATTCACTCATATCCTAAATGAAATATGTGAAAATTTTATAATCTAAGCGTGTGTTGGTAATTAATGGGCCTGTGTTTGTGCAATTATGAAATAAACTGTCTGTCGACAGTCCTTAGAACACTTGACTGATATCAAGTTATCCGTTGTATTTGTGCCTTTAGATATTGAAATAGAGCAGCAAAAGTTTTCTTCCTTGAATATTTTGCTTAGTTGTAATGCTTATCAGTTGTATGCTTTGCTATTTTTGGGCTATAGGGGCTGGGAGCAGTAGACAGTTTATGCAAGCAAGGCAGGAAAGTCTGGCACTTCCATCCACTGAGAGTCAAGAGCACTTGCAGAGGACAGCAGTAGATGCTAGAAACAAGGCAGGATTTTCCAGGATGCAGCACACAATATCTGGAAAGAGCAGAGGCTCATCAGATATCCAGGACAAACGTGGATATTCTCGAGGGTGAACGGTGAAGGGTGAGTTAGGGAGCATTAAGGAGATTCTCAGATGAGTTTTTCCTTATATATCTCTGTGTTATCCATTTTTACGTGGCTAGGGATGCCTCACAGGAATCTACCAGTTACAATTTGTGCTAGCTGGGCACTGTCAGTTACAGCAATCTGCAAAAATTCCCACGAGTGATTAAGCCTACTTGAGTTGTTCCTTGAACTTACTATGTGAATGCAGTCTCTTCTATCATTTTCATTCTGTTGCATGCACCTTGTTCATTGGCTTCCCGTCTTGTCTATTCTTAGAATATATATTCTCGTATTATATAAAAATATTGGGAAATTAATCAAGAGGAAGTGGTTCTAGATCTCGTTTACGAAGATTAGGGGAAATTAATCAAAAGGAAGTCGCTGTTATCATTTCAGAAAGTTTTAATTTTGTTTTCCAAACCACATGGCTTGGACGAGAGTAGCAATAGAATTACTGCCTTTTTTGCCTCTGCCAGGTCTCGGGTTAATATTAGTTTTCATTAAGATCATAAAATTCTAATTTGTTATTTTTCGTTATTAAACTTCTATTTTTTGTTTTGATAGGAAGTTGTCCGCTAGAATTCAGATGTTGGCAGTGTAGCGCACTACCAAAAGTAAATTCTTTTGTTAAAAAAAAAAGTTATTCTCTGAATAAAATAATACGAGATTTATTCATTAATTTAGCTAATATTAAAAATAATATTTTAACAAAATATTCTTCGGAGAGAAACATTGTTCTCTCTTAATAATATGAACCTGAATATTAATTTAGTAAATAAATGATACCCTACTCCCAAAAGAAATAAAGGTATAAAAAAAAAATTGAATATGCTATTATGTTGCAATTTTTCGTAATGATATCTTCCATTGTGAATTATTTTATTTTTAATATAAGATTATATCTAATTATATTTTTTAAAAAAAAAAGTAGAAATATAATTCAAATAAAACCAAGTGTAAAGTTGGATGGTTTAGTGTTAAAATTGGTATTTAACTATAATTTATAATTGATAAAATAAAAATGATTTGGCAAGAATTGATAATTTGACATAATTCGCAAAACAAATACAGAGATTCAGGGAACATTTGGAAATGGTAATTTTTCTTTCTTAAATGAGAATTTATTAATTGTAGCAAGAAAAACAAAGAATATAAAACAATTATTGATATAGGAATAAATCACCTGAAATGATGTAAGAAAATCGTGAAAGAACATTTTCTTGAATCATTGTGAAATTGTAATTTTCTGGAGAAGGAAAAAAAAAATAATTTTGAAAAAATAGCATTGCCAGTTTAGTTCTCAACCGCGTGAAAGAATAAAAAAACTTGAACCATCAGATCAAGAATTTCTGGAAACCCAACAAAGGAGCGCAGGCCACAAATCTGAACCTGTCGGTCCCTTGTACTTCTAGGTTTTCATTTAATTCCATTTCAACCGAAAAAAAATGGCGGTTATTAGAATCACAACAAACATGATCCTCAAGGAGATGTTCACTCATAGGCTACCATTCTCTTACTCTTCTATATCATCCTCTCCTTCTTTCCGTCTAACACTTCCCATCACGGCCCTTGAATTGACCCGCCGTGAGTTCAGCTTCAGCCGGATTCGCTGTGCTGCCGCCAATGACAAGAAGGTATCGGCTCGGCTATCGCAGGTTCAGCAACTTCTTCAAGAAGCTGAGGAGAGAGCCAGCTCCGCTGGGAATGAGCCGCCTCCAAAAATCACTATTGGTACTTAATTTAATTGCTTTGTTCCTATTGTTATTTTTCAAATTGAACTATCAATAATTTTTTTTGTCCAACTCATGAAAGCCTACAAAATTTCCAACACTAATTAGGTTTTAATTGGATTATATAAATGGTGTCTATCGAATTATCTTTAATCAATATGTCCATGGCAGATCATGTTACAGTAAGTTTTGCTAGAAGTGGTGGACCTGGAGGTCAAAATGTGAATAAAGGTTTGTGCACTTCAACATTTATCCGTTTCTCCCTGTTTGATTTTGCTTTGCTGGGGGATTTAACTTATTGTTGCTGTTTCTAATTGAACAGTGAACACCAAGGTGGACATGCGCTTCAATGTTAAAGATGCATACTGGCTGAGTGAGAGGGTTAGAGAGAGGATTATGCAAATGGTTTGTTTCTGACTCCAAAGATTATAAAAGAAGGCATAATGCAACTTTATTTAATGAGGATAGGGTCATGATTTTCAAAGTATTGGTTTGAGGATCCATAGTGGTAATTAAGTGTTACTTGCATATTTTTGCAATGATTTAGACAAAATGTCTTAATTGCAATATAAGTTAATGAATAATGATTGTAGGAGATTGCCAAAATTAAAGGCAAAAACATGGAACAAAAACATATGACTGCAAAATCAAATAAATCTACACAGTTACTTTATTTACTTGGAGGTTCAGTTTTGTCAGATTCTGATGTAGTCATCCCTTAACAGAAAATTCTTTGAAATTTATATTGTGGTGTTTCTACTAGTTGTTAATAGTTTTGTTCATAAACAGGAAAAGAATCGAATCAACAAGGATGGTGAGATCGTTATTTCTTCAACAAAGACTAGAACACAGAAGTTACTTCCTATCCTTTCTTTTTTGACAAAAAAATTTAGTTTTCACTTTAATTTATTTGATGCTTGAGCAGTTGGTTTAATCCTTCTTACTCTTTCTCCTCAGAGGTAACATTGAAGATGCTTTAACGAAGCTGCAGGTATAAAAAACTCTGACAACTCACTTCTATTTAATGCTTAATAGTCTATTACAATGGTAAACAGACATTTGAACATTAGCCTTGCTAATACCTGGCACATGCATAAAATGAGCATGCCTAAAATTTCACTTCTATGAAACAGTATGTCAATCGGCTAGTTTCTTAGTTGCCATGCCTTGCCATGTGATATGCCCTGCTTTTAATTGTTCCTTTTTTATCTTTTGAGTGATAATTTCAGTATGATAAATTACTTTTCTCATTTCCTTCTTTTCAAATTGATGAGCTAACCAGGCCATCATTGATGCTGCTTCTTATGTGCCTCCTCCTCCTTCAGAAGAACAAAAGAAGAAAATTGCCAAACTGTAAGAGCTAGGCACTGTTTATGTTTCACAACTTAGTTCTGTAATCTAACTTAAGTTAATTGTGACAGTATATAATTATCGATTTGCATGTTTCAAAGGGCCGCGATAGGAGAACAGAAACGACTTAAAAGTAAGAAGGCACTTTCAGATAAAAAGGCTTTTAGAAGAAGTAGGGACAGCTGGGATTAAATTAACTTCTTTATAAGATTTCAATCATAGAGCAGTTTGTAAGTTCGTCGCCCGCAGTTTTTCTTTTTATTTTTTGTTTTAACACTGTTTCTTGGTGACCAAATTGTTATTTCTTCTGCCTAATACTTGTAGGAGCTGAAGAAGATTTTTTATTCCATGGAGTGGTGATCATGGGATCAAATAGCATAGTGAAGATCCCTCCAGAGTGGAGACTACAGGACACAAATTGACACTTCTTTGTTTGTGATCCATTCAATATTTTGTAAAATCTATAGTCATAAATTTAGCTGACCATTTACCATAGGCTATTAAAAATTGAGAGTTGTATTTGTTGAGGTGACCAACTTGTAAAAACTTGATCCTTAAGGGCTTTAATAATCTTATTTCAGAAGTTATTTATCATTTTCTATCCTAGTCTGCAACTAAGATTCAAATGGAGTGCTTACTTTTCTAAAAGAGATGACGGGGCAATCTTGATTTCCCTTTTCTATCCAATTACTTATCTCAGCTTGTGAGGTAATTCCTGTTTATCACTGTCAAATAATTCCTGTAATAGCCATGGAGAACATGGAATTCAGCCAAAAGTATTAGTCAGTTGAAAGATGAAAATATTATGCTTATATATTGTAATTCATATTTGTGAACAGAACGTTTCATCCTAGCCAAAGAGGGGAAAGCAACCAAGAAACTATATATACAAGTTAAATTCTCTGCAAAAAACGAGCTAGAAGTTGAAAAACGAAAAAAAAAAAAAGAAAAAATAGAAACAAGAATCATATGATTCTCTGTTATAAATTACTTTCTAATAACATGTTCTTCCCCAGATTGTGCATCTATGTGCTTGATCCATTTCTTTTCACCTTTGCTTGACCCTGAATTTAATCCACTAGTAGCTACATGTGCAATATCAAGTCCTTCCCCTACCGGAAGAAGCACAGACCTAACAAGCCGCCGTGAAGACCCTCCTTCAATAACGCTTCTCCACCTGAAACTGGAAGTTCTTGAACTAGCATTCTTGCAAATAAGAACTGCACCTCTGTTGCTAAGTTTTGCGAGCCTCAAAACCCTAGCAAAGTCCTTTCGCCGTGAATCCACTACCAAGAAATCAATTCCTATAAGCTTTTCCATAACCTCCTCAGCTTCTCCGACCACAACTTCCGGTGACATCCTGGCCTTATTTACCATGGCTTCAATATATTCTGATCTTGACTGCTCATCTGGGACTACACACACGTGTCTTCCATTTGTCTGGTGACTAGCAATAGCCAAGCCGATGCTTGTAGCCATAACTCCACCTTGCGACCATGTTTCTACAATAAGTTTCGCGTTCCATCCAGCAGCCATGGCCGAAATAAGCTCAGCCACTCCAGATTCTTGAAAAAGCTCACACTGCAAGGAAAAAAAAAAATAAAGGAAACAAATCCATAAAAAAGAATGAAACTAAATCAAGAAAACCATTCTTGAAAACAAGAAAAAGCACAATTCTTGAAAGAAGATAAAGAAAAATCAATAAAACAATTCTCGATTTACAATTAGGATTACTTACTAATTTAACAGTTTCAATATAAGCCTTTAATGCTGTTTCAGGAGTCCAAATCAGCTTCATTTCTTCAAAATTCTGCTCTTCTTTCCTCCTCTTCTTGAGCTCTTCAAATTGTGTTTGGCTTTGTCGTTGTTGCCAAGTTACAGAAATGGTGTTGACAGATATGAAATTGATGTTTGGGGTTTTTATATTTGGCTGCTGAAAGTGGGTTTTATTAGACCGTTGACATTAAACCGCGCAAATAATCCAACGTGTGGTGGATTGGGATTGGCATTAGAATAATATATAGAACTGTTTTCCCACTAACGACCTCATTTTCCTTTCTTTCTTTCTACTTGTCATCAGCTGCTTATATTGAGCACTAATATCACCCAGCTTTTAACAACAAAATCACCAATTAGTACCGACCAATCAAAAGACCCTTTTAAATTTATTTTTCTTCTTTCTTTCTTTCTTTCTATATTACTTGTTTATTGTGTTAATTACTATATAAACATAAAAGATAAAACATCCACTTGTCAGTTTTATCTACACTAAGACACGTAATGTAGGAATCAGCATTCGTTTTCAAACCATTAATTAGATTAGGCTTGCTTGCAGTATTTGTTTAACAATCTTAATTAACTTTCCTTTTGGGGGTCAAGTGATAATAAAATAACTAACTGGCATATTCATTTTCTCATATTTATTCCATTGCAAATACAAATTTTTTTTTTTTTTAGATTTTTTTTCTTTTCAAATGCGAAACTAATTTTATTCGATTTATTTTATTTTAAAATTTGTGATTGATTAGTATATCATTTAAAAGGTAAAGTATCATTTTTCTGTTTGACAATAACTTTGAAAGTATAATTTAATTTTTAAACAAAATCTGTAATTTTAGACATTTTGAGAATTTTATAATATTTGCATAACAATGTCTGGAATTAAAACACTGATTCTTCTGTAGAGCCATTAATAATAAAATATAATTAAAAATCATCTATTCAATATTTCAGAATTTTAAATTCTCAAATATTATACTATAATCGCAGTGAAAAAGTTTTTACTCGTATTAAAGTTGGTTTCAAATATCAATTGCATATATAACAGATAATTTTTTTACTAAAGGTTTCTCTTCTACTAATTTTTCGAATGTGGATTGATTAAATACAATTTCTTTTATACTTAAATATCTTTGATAAAAATAAAATAAATCAGTATGTGCCTCTGACACAGAATGTGACATTCATTATCTAATCCTACAGAATCGGATAGTAGATATTACAATAAGTATTTTAAAATTGAAGAAATTGGTTATCAACCATGATTTCCCTTTAATATTTAGCTAAGAGTTGATTATAAACTAACTTCTCTTTTTTCTCTCTACAAATTTTTTTTTTTCAAAATATTTTATGACATGTTTATTTTTATTGATAATTACTTAAAATGTTTGTCAAAAAATAATAATTAATAATATAAAAATTATAAGTTTATTTTCTATAGTTTACCAAAAATTACTATTATTTTATCGTGTGTTTTAGAAAATACACTATTTTATTTTTATATTTTTATAATGGAGGTAAAGATTGCAATGATAGAGTTGAGCAGCGATTATGAATTTCTACAATGAAGATAACAAAAAAATTTTGTTGTGAGTTGGATTTAAGGTTGCTTATATCTTTTTACAATACATTTAGTGATAAAAGTTACATTTTTATGATAGAAGGACAATAATAAATAAGTATAGAAAATATAGGTAATTAATTTATTTTTTAAAATAAAAGGATAAAAATATAATTTTTCCTTAATAAGACGATGTTAGAAATATTTTTTAAAGTATATACAATTGAATTGCGATGGATATGGGTGATAGTGTGAAATTTGGTTCGTGGTGGGCCCATGAAGAAGAATAAAATTGAAATATCGAGAAGATGAGACCAAGACAAGAGATAGAGTTTGAGATGGTCAAACGGGGGTGTTATGTTTAGGTCACCATGTCCGTATGATCATCACAAAAAGGACGGTACGAAATCGCAGCGGCCAGATTTGTTGACTTCTCTTCCTATGCAGCTTCTACATGCCTTCAAGTAAAATTAAGCCACTTAATTTTTTTTGTGATAATATAAATTTTTAAATGCAAAAAAACTCGTAACATTTTAAAAAATAATAATATTTTGAGATAAAACAAAATTCACTTATATTTTGAGACATAACGAGTAATTAATAGAGGCTTGAATTAATAAAATTAAATAGTACTGCAGTAGAGTCTAAAATCAACAGTAGAGAATAATTTTTTTAATTAGTTGAATAATGACAGCCCTACAAAAATCAAACTCTCCCCATCAGATATATTACTGGCGACATACAATCAAACACACTATCGGATGCCATCAAAAGGCTTTTGACTTTGAGGTGCAAAAGAACAAAGAGAGAGAAAACAGAAAATGTGTTCGTTTTTTGCAGTTGTATCAGTTATTGTCATTATCATGCTTAATTTCTGTGGGATGACGTTTTATTATCTTTTAATTATTTTTTCTTATATGAATTGATGGCCAAGAAATTAGATGCCGACAATAACCTGAATTAGGTAAACGCACATCCTAAATTTATTTCAAACAAAGTTAAACCTTGTCATGATGGGATTGACACTGACAAATTCCTGCAATTTATTTACTTGAAAAAAAAAAAAAAAACTTTGTCAAATGTTGCATTAATCTAATGTTAAATATTTAATTGTCAAAGCCGGCCTTAATAAGAATTAGCACCAACATTCGAATTTCAACAAACAACATTTTTTACTTAATTAGAGAAAAAGAAAAGAAAAGAAAGATTCATGCTTATATATATATTTCATCTATATATAATTATAATAGAAATTTTTTCAATGTTAATAGTTATTCTCGGAATTCAACGAATAAACAAAACTATGGTCGTACCTGAATAGAGACGAGGGTCTTTCTCAAGTGGATGAAACTAGAACTAATAAGATTTTTAGAAATATTATAATGTTTCAAATTTAATTTTTTTCTTTATATTTTAAAAAAATTGAATATTTATTTTTATTTTCGATCCATAGATATTTAAAAGTCTACTTTTGCAACTACTGATACGTACACATTTAGCTAATAATTCAAAAGTAAATTTTTATTTACATATTAAACCATTTTCTTTTGCTTTTATATATCCCAAGTGAAAGGAGGATGTAATTAACGTGTAGAATAAGGTTTTTACTTTGGTCATAGCCATAATTATGAATTATACGAATAATCTAAATTCTAATCTTTTTGCGGCTACCTTGTAAATGACTCCAAAAGATACGTAAATTAATATAATTTTCTAAAAACATCCACATAACAAAATATTAAAAGGGGTTTATTAGGTCAAAACCATGGAATATTCCACCTCATCTTTATCTTTACGTTTATATATATTAAGAAGAAGATTTGGTTCATGAATTCTTGTAGTCTTTCCTTCTGGAATATGAAAAGGGGTTTTAAGTTTAAATGTTTGATATTTATAAGTTATAACTATGACTAATTATGTGGTAGAAAATACTTAATTTCAAGGATTAGAATTAGACCTTGATTATTGAACTTCTTTTTTTGGGTTTGCTCTTAGGATTTCTCGTGATTATGAGGTACTAAAATTTGATTCTTCCTTGAAATTGAAGTAGACTTTGCCTTGGTTAATTCTTTAGGATTTTATTATGATGGATTTGATTGGCTTAATTAGGGTTTGTTGTGATTGTTTTGTATTTTGTTGTCAAAATGATATAATTCGTTTAAGGTTTTATATAGAGATTAAAGAAATAATTAAAAATTTTAAATTACAATTAAATTCAGATAATTTGATCAAATTATTTTTTATTGTATTTGATATAAATAATAATAAATTAAAAAATTATTTATTACTCTTTAAAATACTCAAAATAATTTATAATTTCGATACGAAAAGAGTACAAAAGACTTAAAGAAATGAATGTGCTGAGTCTTCTTGGAAATCTTATAGTTTTGAATATTGAAAATAGAGTTATGCTTCAATAGGAATAACATAATATAATTGTTTAAATTCTTATGGTTAAGAGGGTTTGAATTTAAAATCTCTTACTTTCACATAAAAAAAAGATCAATTAGATTATAATGATCGATAATTTTTTGAAATTTCTCCGTGTAGGTAAAATTTTTTTTTTAAGTTTTGATTCTCGAAATTATATTGATGTTTTAAGTAAATCTTTTTTTTAGATAAATTTATAAATAAATGAAACATTCAATAGGAATTGCTAAACATTGGAAAATCAAAATTTTGTTTGTTGTTTTCTCTTCTTATGTAACCAAAAGAAAAGAATTTGCAACATTGGTTCAACTGAAATGAATTAGAGATGCACTGAACTTGTCCAGTTAGCCAAAGGGTATTCATCTATGGAGCTAAAAAATACTACGTGTCAAAAACCCAGAACCCTCAAATCCACGCGTCACATACCCAAATTCACTTCACCTCCTTCTTCAACCCCTTTAAAGTTTAAACCCTCCCGACTCCAAACAGTAACCGCAAAACGACATCGCGAAATGCATCGTTTCAAATCTATTGCCCGGAGCTACCACTCGCTCAACAATAACGCCATTGGACCCCTTGTATCCATCTTAAAATCCCGGTCTGTTATCCGGTTCAGTGGCCCGGACACGCTCAAGTTCCTTCAGGGTCTGTTAACCAACGATGTACAAAGATTCGGTGAACCACCCGGCGAGAGGATCTCATCCCTGCCGACTCCCAATTTGCCTACTGTCTCCGCGTCGCCCATGTACGCTGCGCTTTTGACTCCTCAAGGAAGATTTTTGTACGATTTATTTTTGTATAGACCGACGCGAGCTAGTGAGAAGCTTGATAGTAAAGGATTCGGACCCGGGTCGGACACCAGTGGGTCTGTTGAGCTGTTGGCGGATGTGGATACTTCGGTTCTTGATGAGCTATTGCAGACTTTTAGAAGGTGGGTTCTTCTTCTTCTTCTTCTTCTTCTTCTTCTTCTGTAATTTTTATAGCTGCTGCTAGATTTTAATAGGGATGGATTGACATTGAATTGATAGTTGTAACAATACGTAGCTAGAATTGTTTGTTTTCTAAATCTTTTATATTTAATGCCATATGTAGCTGCAAACATTTTGATCAAGACAGAAATCCACTTCTTTACTTGTCAAATAGGAAATGGCTTAGACTATTTAGCAATTTTGTTTCGGGCAATTGAAGTGTTGTTTAGTTTAGCTAACAGGATGAGCCACATAGGTGGAAAAGGTTTTCCAAAAGTTAAAATGGGCTGATAGTTGATTGTTAAGCTTTCCTCCTGTTGAGCAAAAAGATTGTACTTGAAAGTATACCCCCATCTTACCAGGGTTATAAGAGAAAGAACATGCAACTAAGTATCTAAGAAATGTGTAATTAGTAGTTGACGAACAACAAATAAGCCGCACGTTTCTACTGCGCATTCTATAAAATAGGCTTCTAGTGGTCTCTGATAAAGTTTCCCCATGCATTTGATTTGACTTTCTTTTTCCATCCTCCTATTCCTTTTTTTTTTACTCTCTGCTGCATATGGCAATCTAGTAGCAAAGCTTGATTCTGAACTTATAGGTTCTGATGCAGATACCGTTTGAGGTCAAAGGTTGAGATTGACAATGTGGCAGAAGAATTCTCTTGCTGGCAGCGCTACGGTGGAAAGCTTGCTGAAAAATCACGAGTTGCAGAAGAACCAGAGGCAGCTAGTGTTGGCTGGGGTTCTAGCGTTGATCCTACTGCACAGTCAGCTGCACATGGGGATCGTAATGGATGGCAATGGTTTAAAGACCCTAGATTGGAATGTCTTGGCTTCCGCGGTGTCTTTCCATCCAATAAGATGCGTAGGTTTTCGAGGCCTCTGCTGCTTTTGAGATTTTTGCATGCTTACTTGGCAGGCATCTCTATGATTAATTTGCTTATAATCCTCTGTTTTGATTCTGCTGCGACTTCTTATTCACTAAGATTTGATTGGTTGCAGCACCGTTGGTTGAGGCTGACAAAGAAACAGATGAAGAAAATTATCTTTTATGGAGAATTGAGAATGGAGTTGCTGAAGGATCAACTGAGATTCCAAAAGGTGCACCCTCCTTTCTTCTTTCATGAATTTTACTTGTACTTCATATTTCATACTGAATTATAGGGTTCTCTGATTTTCTCTCTTGTATATATGGAGTTAGCTGCACTTTTCTACGGAATGTACCGCATGACTTTCAATCTTGAACTTACTATGCTGCGCAGGTGAAGCAATTCCACTTGAATACAATTTTGTCGGTCTGAATGCTATAAGCTTTGACAAAGGATGCTATGTGGGTCAAGAGCTTATTGCTCGCACCCACCACAGGGGGGTCATTCGCAAACGTTTGCTTCCTTTAAGGTTTCTGGATGATAGTGGGAAAGGTAATTTAATGTTCTATTCAGATTCTGCAATATCCATTAAATGAGCATATTCAGAGTGCCTTTTTTGATAAGGTTTCTGGATGATAGTGGGAAAGGTAATTTAATGTCCTATTCAGATTCTGCAATATCCATTAAATGATCATATTCAGAGTGCCTTTTTTGATAATCTTATTTCAGAAGTAGAGCAGAAAGTTGCTCCTGGTTCAGAAGTGATTGAAGCTGTATCTGGCAAGAAGGTTGGCCCTGTGACAACTGCACTTGGTTGTCGAGGGCTAGGTCTTTTGCGGTTGGAGGAAGCATTTAAAATTTCAGGTTCTTTGATAATACAAGGACAGGAGGATGTGAAGGTTGAGGCTATTAGACCAAAATGGTGGCCAGCTGAATGGTTTCCAGAGCATAAACGGTATAGTGCAGTTGCTTAATAGTTTTTTCTTAGAACGGTTGCTTAACTTGGAACTAGAATGGATCATATTCCTTGACTTGATCAATCATGCAAATTGTGGGATTCTTCGCTGGCACGAACCCCGCATGGTTAAAAGCTTTGTAGCATGTTTCATGCTTATTCATGTGAAAGAAAGTAAAAAGTAGGATGTTAAGCATATGTTGTAAGAATCCCATACATTCATTCATACCACAAGTTGTTTCAAGATTTATTTTCGCAATATGCAAGCCAATATTGTTGGTCTGGATGGAATGTCTATGATTTTGGCAGGAATGAATTTTGTCGAGTGGAAACGGGCACTCAATGGGATTTTTTTTTTTTTAATCTTATTGATTACTACTTTTTGGTTCTGGGAGGGGAAAAGAAGGGAACGTGGATTTGAGTTTGGCAGGCTTTCTGCAGGTCATATTTTCTTTTCTTTTTCACATCAATATTCCCTGATGAAGAAGTCAATGTTAGAAACCTTGCCTTTGCCGTCATTTAATGGTTAATTAGTAGCTATTATGCTTCGAACATTACCAAGTCTCGCATCGTACTTGCTATTAATGTATTAAGCATGACACATTGAATCAACTATTTCAGCAGAAGAAACAAATAAAGATTCCGGAGATGTTAGGAAAGCTTTTTATTAAGATAAAACAAGTGGAATTTACTTCTTCAAGAATATTCTATCAATCAACTTCAATTTTACAAAAGACAGTCATCTTTTCACTTTTGCTGTAAACCTCACTCCATTGAAGCTAGCCACAAATGTAATAATTAGTACAAGCAGTTTCCAATTTCTACAGCAGTTTGTGCGGTTCTGGTGAGGTTTTCATTGCAGTCTTAGCGTCATCAACTCATGAAGAACCAGCATCACTATTGTTCAGCTCTCATCACTATTGTTCAGCTCTCGAATCACTGCTTCCATGGTTGGCCTGTTCTCAGGAAGCTCTTGGGTACAAGCAAGTGCAATTTTTGCCATCTTAGCTGCTTCTGATTCGGAGAAGTTTCCATTGAGATTGGTGTCTACAAAACCTTCATATTTGTAAGATGCAGCTGCCACGCGCATCGAGCTGGAAAGCATCTGTTTGCCAGAGAGAATTTGGAGGACGATCACTCCAAATGCATAGACGTCGCCTTTTTCAGTAAAATGTCCGGTAGTTATGTACTCTGGAGCTAGATATCCCATGGCAGCACTTATTTTGAGTGCTGAGAAGACAATGTCATCTGCTAGGAGCTTGGGAAGGCCAGAGTCAGCAATCAGCGGATTAAATTGCTGATCAAGGAGAACCTTCTCAACTGATATGCGTCGGTGGATTATGGCAGGTCTGTTTGCTTCACTGCTGTGCAAATATTCAATACCTGTGATAAAATGCTGATTTAAGGAAAACATTGAAGTCGATAAGAAGATTACACGGTAGAAATAGTAGAATGAAACTTACCTTTTGCAATGCCACTGATAATCGAAACCCTCAAGGACCAGTTAAGGACATAGCTGCTTCCATCTTCTACATCAAGATATTTTGATAGGCTTCCTTTAGGAGCAAAATCATAGATGAGAAAACATTCACCTCTACTCCTAGAACAGCAAAACCCCCGCAGCCTAGCAAGGTTATCATGTCTTAGAGATGTTAACAGGTTCAACCCCTTCAAAAATTCGTCTTCCTCAGACTTACAGCTTGTTATGTTAATGCTCCTAATTGCTACAAGAGAACCATCTCTAAGTATTCCTTTGTAAACACATGAGAAACTGCTCTTCCCCAACAAATTCACCTCAGAGAAGCATTGAGTAGCAGATTCGATCTCCTCCAGGTTGAATCTGAAGTTATTTAGACAGCCCTCAGAAATTCTGATACCATTTCGACCTTCTCCAAATGGATCCCACCCATTAGAGTACTCAACAAGGCTTACGAGAGGGGAGGCGCCACCTCTAGGAAGCTCCTTAGCCTGATCAGTGCTCAGTCTTCCATCAGAAGGTTCAGATGTATTACCAATCTTTTGTTTTTTTCGGCGATAGAAGAAAATGATCAGAAATCCAGCACCGATCAACAAAATGGTGACTGTAATAACCCCTGCAACAATGAGAATTTGCGGAAATTTTGACGAATGCGAGCAGTTGGTTTGGTTGCAAGGTGAATGGAACACTGTAGATATAGGGATATTTTTCGAAGTATTGCTGCTACCCGCGATTGGTCCGGAAGGGTCAATTTGATTGGTGTTCATCTTATCAAATGCAGAGCAAGCTCTCAGTTGCGGAAATCCAACTCCACATAAACCTTTGTTGTTCTTGAACTGAAACCCTTCATTTAATCTCTGCAAAGCTTCATTTTTTTTTTTTGTCAAAATTATCAAAACCTAAAATCAGTCTAATCCAATAATATGCACAAAAAAATATATTTATTAAGCCACTCCAAAAGTATAGAGGAAAGGAACAGACTTACCAGAAGGAACCATTCCAGAAAGTGAATTGTTACGGACATCTAGCACCTGCAATTGAGGAGCTTTAGTGATTGATGAAGGAATTGGACCAAAGAGGCTATTAAAACCCAAATCAAGCCTCCTCAACATCCCCAAGTTTCCTAAGCTAGTTGGAATTTGATCAGTTATTCTGTTATATTGCAATGCAAGCACAGTTAGCCTCTTCAAGGACCCCATCTCCGTAGGTATTTTCCCTGTTAGCTGGTTACAGCATAGCTCTAAAACTACAAAAAAGAAAAATCCAATTAAACAGAGTAAAACCAAAATCCAGAATGCTTGAGAGCAACAGAGACTGATAATCAACTAACCTTGGAGACTAGCCATGTTGCCGATCTCAGCAGGTATACTACCAGAAAGATTATTCACATTGAGATAAAGATCAGTCAACTCAGTCAAATTTGATAACTCTTTCGGTATCTCTCCAGACAATTTGTTGTAGTGCAAGTAGACACCCGACAAGCATTTAAGCTCCGCCACTGCAGGCGATATCTTGCCTGAAAGACCCTTTCCCTGCAAGGAAATATTGGCCACTTTACGGTGCTCGTTGCAAGCAACGCCCTCGAATGAACCGCTGCATGGATCGCCATCACTGTTCCACGACTGCAAGAACTTGTTGTTTGGGTCTAAAGCAGACTTCAACTCCATTAAAGCTCTCAGTTCGGTATTTCCACATACAAGTTTTAGACTTGCAATTGCAAGCAATACAGCAAGAAGCGATTGAAAATAGAAGAAACCCATATCTGTTTTTGCCTCCAAAATTCTCTCACTTCACCCACTGAAAAAAAGCAGATCATTGGATCACTAAGAGCCCATTTCTAGGCCTTCATCGAAATTCTCTCTGCATGTAGCTTAAGCACTTGAAGATGAAAACCTTTTTATCTTTAAGAGAAGTGCTTATTGACCCGGTTCTCTCTCGCTTATGAAGTTTGTTTCTGGACTTCTTGATCTCTGACTATAATCTCGACAAATCCTGACCATTTTTTAAGGTACCAAAAGAGGCAAGCGGCAGTGAACTTGACTTGTCCAGCTCTATTCCTTTCCTCCCTATATTTTCTCCGTCTTGGAAGCCAGTTGCAGACAGTAGCCAGAAACATTTAAGAGTGAGAAAGACCGGCAGAGCTACGTATAGCAAAAAATCTTTAAATTTACGAGAGAGTTTCGGGATAAAAAGGCAAAATGTCTTTTCACCTCATTTGCAGTATTGTGCGTTCAAACCTGCAATTTCTTTGTCTATTATTACATAGTTAACTTTTCAATTGATAAATACAAAATCATTTTATTATAATCACGTCATTCTAATAATAAATTAAATTTTTCATTGTAAATTATTTATTTCCTTTAAATTAAGAAGGGTACAATTTTAGCTAGTTTTTTGGTGACGGACATTCACATTTGAAATTTAATGTTAGATTTAGACGTGTAAAGTAAAGATACATATAGATAAATGGTGGATGGATAAGAGGGTGAAGAAGATGGTGTGCCAGATTGGCAATTGTAGCTGTGATTGTTGGACTGTTCTCTACTGTTGATCCGAAGAACTGAGACTGATGTAGTTGCCAGTGGGTCCCTACTTGATATGAACTGTTCCTTTGTATTTTTTTATGGGAAAGACAAAGTTATCATTAAATCCACCTTATCAAACCGGAATAATATTATAAATTATATAATAAAATGTAAATTTTTTTATTTATAAGAGATCATCAATATTTAAATATTTTCTTCTCGCATATTTTAATTAAATTATATTTAACGAATAATGTAGTTAAAATATTTATGTTCAGTAGTTTAAGCATTCAAGTGGAATCCGACATAGTAATAGAAGAATAAATTAAGGTAAGATGCAAGTGCTAGACAGCTTCAAAATTTCAAATTCAATTAGAGGAGCAATCATTCCTTTGTTCACATAATATAGTAATAATAATAATAAATAAATAAAAGAGTGCCACTATAACTTTATACCCTTTGAGGCATTGTCCTATAATAAATGCTCATTTAATAAGTATTACTCACCGATAAAGATTGAAGATTATCAAGCATTGTTAGGTTCCTCTTTTCTCTGTAGTTTGAAAAGCATTGGAGGTCAAGAGGTGGGAAACCTAACTCCGGCAACCCCACATGGAGGTTGACTATTTATACATAGGCCTTGTAGTAAATTATTATTACTACCAAACCAACATAAAAATTTTTATATATACATTGTGATAACTTATAAATTATATTAAAAGTGCATGCAGTTTGACTCGATACAAATAGAAAAGAAATGCGTTAGGTTAGGAAGAGAAAGTAAATTTGGAATCTGACATTAGTCATACCACACCAGCTATTACTCACTACTTTGGAGCTTAGGATTCCCTTGGACATTTCCACTGTTACTCGCTAATAGATTGCAATTCAATATGATCAAAGGTTTTATTTGGTGAAGGATGAATTTCATAAAAACATCTATAAAATTTAATATAATACAAAAACTAAAAATTAATTTTAGATTCCAAGTTTATATAATACAAAAAGAGCTCCCCCTTCCCCCCCCAACCTTTTTCTAGTGGTTTTAGCTAGCTGTTGTGTTGTTGTATTGCACCGACAATAGAATTGCCAAGCAATAATCAATTATAAATCCAATAATGACAAAATATCAAGTCCAATGGACACCTTTATTGCTAAACACAATCAAACGAGAGAAAAAAAATATTCGCTGGGTAGCTATCAACAGAAAAGAATTAAGCTGTTCATATAGTTCACTGCTAGTAATTCAATCAATTGATGTGTATTTATTTTAATAAATTAGAAAAAGACGAAATAAAATTGAAGTTAGTGGTTGATAAATTAAATGAAATGGAGGTATGAGCAAGAAAATTATGCCATTTGATTGAAAAGTGACTATGCTTATTTTTCAAAAGTTTCTCCACCATTCTCGAGTAGACTGAAAGTAAGAATTAAAAGGGAAATTTTATGACGAAGAAAGCAATTTGCAAATTTCAAATATGGCAGCAATTTGTTAATGTCAATGACATAATAGGGACAGCATGCATACGTGTGTGAAGAAATTTTTGGCAGGCCAATCTTGATCCAACGGCATGTAATATAAACTTGTTTTTTCAACGTCGATCTTGATTTTTCAATTACTTTCTAGAAATTATCATGAAGACTACTCTTATCATTTGAATTTTCAAGAAATGAAGTCGTGAAGACGTAAAATCACACTCGTCTTTAACTTTTATCTCGATTAGCTTTTTGTTTTTTTTTACTTTGTCTTTTACCATGCTAGAAACGAGGGATATGTTGCAAAAAGTACAACTTTTGAATTTTTTCTTTTTTTTTTTTTAAACTTTTGCAAAAAGTACAACTTCCACTTAGATTTTTTCAATGACGATATATGACGTCAATATGACATACTTTTGAAAATTTTAATTCCTTATAATTTATCTTCGGGCTTCATTAATCATACGCCTTCCACTTCACCGTAGGTACGAGTTATTGTTTAAGATTACAGTGGGTCTCCCAAGCCAGTTGTGAGAAATATGCATGCACTAGTTTACTCGAATGGAATTTATATTAGAGGGTAAAAGGGGGATTTAATATTTAAATTTATGGGTAAAATGATTGAAACGCTCTGTAATGTGCACAGCCGAATTCACCTATACAATTCTAAAAAATATTTAAAGATTTTCAACTCCTTTCGTATATAATATAAAAAAAATCTACGAGATAGATAAGGATATTTCCTTCTTTAGAAAAAAATTTAAGAATAACGAATTCAATTAATTCATTTAAACATTGTTATTTTGTTTTTTTTTTTTTTTAAACTTTTGCAAAAAGTACAACTTCCACTTAGATTTTTTCAATGACGATATATGACGTCAATATGACATACTTTTGAAAATTTTAATTCCTTATAATTTATCTTCGGGCTTCATTAATCATACGCCTTCCACTTCACCGTAGGTACGAGTTATTGTTTAAGATTACAGTGGGTCTCCCAAGCCAGTTGTGAGAAATATGCATGCACTAGTTTACTCGAATGGAATTTATATTAGAGGGTAAAAGGGGGATTTAATATTTAAATTTATGGGTAAAATGATTGAAACGCTCTGTAATGTGCACAGCCGAATTCACCTATACAATTCTAAAAAATATTTAAAGATTTTCAACTCCTTTCGTATATAATATAAAAAAAATCTACGAGATAGATAAGGATATTTCCTTCTTTAGAAAAAAATTTAAGAATAACGAATTCAATTAATTCATTTAAACATTGTTATTTTGTTTCCGTTCATCAATTCATCTTTCAACACCAAAACGACAACTCAAAAGTTCATAATTTTCATAAAAGTAAAAAGCGAAGCTAAGATCAAGTAAGAGAGAAATTAGAGATTTAATCTATATGTGTACAACTCAAAAGTTCATAATTTTCATAAAAGTAAAAAGCGAAGCTAAGATCAAGTAAGAGAGAAATTAGAGATTTAATCTATATGTGTACAACAAAGGAAGGAGTGAAAGAATAATAAAAAATATTTTTGTTAATGGAAGAAAATAACTATGAAAAATGTATTGAAAAATATTTTTTTATTTGGAAGATAAGAAAAAAATATTAAACAAAGTAATATTTTATTTATTTTCTATTCAGGCCTATAGGTTTTAAATCTCTTCAATTTGGAGAAAAAATCAAGAATTTCACTTACTTTTATTAAATTATTTTAATACCTCAAATTAATTGATAAATTTTAACCCTTTTTTTTGATATCCATTATTTAAGTGAGGACATAATTTTTAACTTTAAATAATAAGGTTTCTTTCCTCTAAATTTTGCCCTTTCCACATAGAAAATTAAATTTATTTTATTTTTTTCATTATTCTAAATACAAATATGAAAAATAATTATGAAAGATAAATTCATAAATGCTCGTTATTTTTCATCCTTTCTTATTTTTCTTCCTCTCTTTTTGGAGTAAAGTTTAAATAAAATTTACCTAAGAATGTGGGATGATGCCCCATTGCAAGGCAGTCCAAACCATTTATCTTCTTAAATCAAAATTTAAAATTTCTCTGTATTATTGGCAAAATCTCATTTGTTATGACTTGTTCGGATTTATTTTTTAAATTAAACTTTTATTAAAGAATTATTTACTTCAAAAATATATATATTTTTTAGGATAATGAAACATGAAAATTTCAAAATGAGAAACAAGAAATTGTCAAGTTGCTAATAAATAATCTTCTTTTTTTTTTTTTTCCTCACAAGAGATATATAATATTCGTTTAAAACAATTGGCAATTTTCATTTTAGTGCGAGAAGACAAGGCAATGGTTAAGCAGTGGGCTCTTAGTGTGGAAGCAATGGATGGTGCAGAGTGAAAGTTGGAAGATAATTATTTTCGAAAAGGGGAATTTGCACTTTCTTTTAGGATGTGCAATGTATATATATTTATTGCATGTGAACATAATGATTTACGCACCATTATAAACTATCAACTATTCCCCCTATCTATAACATAACAGTTCATTAATTTGATTCAATTACTTTTAAAATATTACAGAAATAATTAATTACTTTTAATATAAATAAAGGTAAAATAATAATAAAAAAAAACATCATTATACTTTTTTTTTTTTGAAAGAATCATTATATAATAATGTTTAAAAACGATTTATATTTATAAATAAAATAATTATTATAAGATAATTTATATTTATGGAGAGAGGAAGTAAGGCTACCTTGTCTTCTGCATATGGAGCTATTTTTTTGGACTCTATACTTAGCGTAGTGAGGTAGGCTTATTATTTGAATGGGTACCAGTAATGGGCCGGGTCAGCTCAAATGGCTCACATGTACATTGTCACTGCCATAGTGGGCTTTCCTCTTCTCCCTGCTTTTTCTTTTTCTTTTGCTTTTTATTACTAAGTAAATTATTAATAAATATGTTGCTAAAAAAAAAGGAGTTAAATGTTTCCTTACATTTGTTTCTATTAACAAAAATAATTCTTCAAAAAAAATATAGGTGAAAAAAAAGATAAACATTTTCTTATGTGTATTAAGTTATTATAAATCTATAAATGTTTATATACTCCCATTCTCTCTTATTTTATTTGTCCTTTTTAAAATAAAAATTTAAATTAGCTGTCAAATATTTTGAATATATAACTTTAAAAAATGAAGAATTAATTTAAAATTTTCTTCTTACTTTTATTTTGACCACTAAAATTGCTTTGAGTAATCATACTTGAATGAATTATTTAGTTAATAGTATAAGCGTAATTATTTTAAAACTTATAATATAAATGAATATTATTGTAATTATTTATGAACAGTATTATTTTTCCATCAATATATTTTATTTTCCCTTCAAGTTCGAAAGATTCAATTTTAATGTAGCCTAAAAGAAATTTTATACACATTTTCTTTCCTTCAATATTTTTTTTTTTATTGCCAAACAAGGTAAAGTGATTTTACTCCAACATTTTCCTCCTTATCTTTTTTGAGGAAAAAGCTCATATAGAAATGGCCGACGCCTGGTATATCATTTCTTTCCACATTTTCCTCCCATCCAAACATGTTTTAAGTATTTTATTTTTTATCCAATTGAAAAATATTTTCCAAAATTCTTTATCTTTTACATTATTTTACGAAAAAAAAACGATGTGGGCCCGTTTAACTGATTCCATTTCAATTTCCAACACGGACAAATGATTGTCTGACACAAGTTCCCGCTCGTCACAATTCATTTCTTTAAACGGCGTCATTTATTTGCCGCTCTACGACTACCTTGTCGTTTTAAATAACATCCCTAAAATGATGTCGTCTCGCCCTTAAGAAATACAAACCTGCCTCCCATTTCATCATTTCCTTCAAAATCACGCACGCGACACAACGTGCAGCACCATTTCCAGACAAGAAGAGAAGGAGAGTTGAGGACCATTTTCGAGAGATAGACACGACCCGAATCCGACCGGAAAATGGGCAAGGATCTCAGTGAGGACCAGGTCTCATCAATGAAAGAAGCCTTCACGCTCTTCGATACCGACGGTGATGGCAAGATCGCCCCATCTGAATTGGGAATCCTAATGCGTTCTCTCGGCGGCAATCCGACCCAGGCACAACTTAAGACCATAGTCGCTGAAGAAAAACTTAACGCTCCTTTTGATTTCCCTAGATTCCTCGATCTCATGGCCAAGCACATGAAACCTGAGCCGTTCGATCGCCAGCTCCGCGATGCGTTCAAGGTGCTCGACAAGGACGGTACTGGGTTCGTTTCGGTTGGGGATCTGCGCCACATTTTGACTAGTATTGGCGAGAAGCTGGAACCCGCCGAGTTCGATGAGTGGATCCGGGAGGTCGATGTTGGGTCGGATGGGAAAATCCGCTACGAGGATTTCATTGCAAGGATGGTGGCCAAGTGAAGTAAGATCGGTTAAGAACTCTGCCGTGTGTTTGTTTGTTTTTTTTTTTTTTTTAAATTTTTTTTATAATTCTCAGAAGTACTTTTGCGTAATATTTGCCTTTTGTTTTTGGTTTTGGGACATTAGGGTTTGTTTGGGTAACGATGTGATGGTGTTCTTCGAATTATTGAAGTAATGCTAAGTTTTTCGTTAATGATTTTGGGGCTTTCTAGATGTGTTATTGTTTATAACGTCCCGGCTAATGTAACTGAATCTGTGTACTTTCAGGCAATTCAAAGTTTGCTGCTTTTGTATTTGGCTTGATTGGCCCAGAAAAATTAATTTAATCTGTTTCTGTTCGAGATTTCAGATTTCTCTATTTCTTTTTCCCCTTTTCTGGCATTTCTTTATTTTGAACTTTGAATTGCTTTTAGATGCATGTAAGGATCCATATTATGTGGCTAGATGTTTATTGACTCTTGTGCATTTGGTATTCCGGAACATGACTTGCGAGTAGCTTGGCTGATTGAAATGCTTGTGGAGGTTTAGTAGATGTACTTTCTAATGCAATAGAAATACATGTATCTTGTGGGTTGGTTGGCTTTACAAAACTTTGTTTATGCGCTGATTTTGACATTGTGCTGGTTATGTATGGTTTAATTGGTCTCTGTTTGAGAGGTGAGTTTTTCCCTAGGCTTTCCTATTAAAAGAAGAATGAGATAACTAGCTGATGGTTGCAGGAAAATACAGTTCAACAATGCCTGGAAAATATAGGCTATATATTTTATTTAAATTGTAAATGATTAGAATGATACCCTTGATGGCTTAATTTGGCAATGGGAGAGTAGATGATGCTTCTATTTTTGTGAACTGAATTTTGATATATCAAATAGGCTTTAAACTTGGCATGCTTAAATTTAAAAGGTTATCCAATATGTAAATGTTGTCTATTAAGCTAGTTCCAACTTCCCAGCAGGAGTAGGTGGTCCATGCTGAGTTTTTTATGTTCTATATTGGGGTTGTTTTGTTTTAGGATCCAGGGTTAACTGTTCTCTTTAGTTTATGTTGATTTGTGTTTCATGTTTTCGGAAAACTCAGAAACGACATGATATTTTGTTCTGTTGATTATAAAACTATACCTAGGTTTTATGTCTTGGGGCATTCAATGTTGTTTGAAATGTGTGTTTTATACAACTGAGGTTTCTTTTCCTGAAAATTGAGATCTAGTTTGTTAGAAAGTGCAGCGCTTGATTGAGTGTGACAACTTCATAATTTAGTTTAACTTACAGAAAGGGTTTCTTTTAGTAACAGGATTGCCATTTCCTTTCCTTTTGAATTAGTCTTGTTGACTTATCTGGCAAATTAACTTTTAGGCAAGACATATTGATTTTTGTTAGTCTTTGCATTTTGTGAATCCAGGACTTGATCTAAATCTAGAGCAACTCTAATGTAACTTTAAATATTTGCCTATGAAACAGTAGAAACTCCCTTTTCAAATAGTGATATCTTGAATATATTCGATTTATCTGGCATCATATTGTTGTTGCTTATGAGGAAGAGTTACTTAAGTTGTGTCTCTTGATCTATTTCAATAAACCATCTTGTTATTCTTTCAATCGAGAATAGCAAAGGTCTAATTATGCAATATATTTCTGTTTTCTTGAACTATTCCTATTAGATGACTGTTGTTTTTGAGTTAAGAGTCAAACCAAGCTTTATCTTGTAAATTATAAGCTTAGCTATTTTGGAAGAATCTATTATTCTCCGAATGAGGCGCAGAAGTTTAGTGCTTGCAGGGCCATATTGCCCATTTTATCTTCATAGCTGCTGTTTTTATTTTGTTATCTTGAAAATGACAATGATACAGTTTGATGTTGTTATGAGATTGAAATGTACTCTTCTAACTTATCTTTGCTAGTAATGAGCGAAATGGAATTGCCCAAGCATTTCCCTCTGTGATTTGTCATATCTCCCATAATCATGGGCATAAAGAAAACTTGCTTGGGAGGCCAGAGGTTTTGTCTCTACTAAATTGTTACCCGCTATTTCTCGTTTACGAGGGATAACATTTAGTTCAATAGTAACCGATAAAGCATCAGATCAAGACGACAACATCCCGGATCTGTCGTCAAATTTTTACTTGGTCGTTCAACGATAGTTCTGGTGCCTAGGTATGTTGAGGGGGCATGACCTGCACCTTAATCTATTCGAGTATTTTGCAAGCACGTTACCGTTTGCGATGCGACATATCGCTTTGAGGTCATTGAAAAATACTATTCCAAGAAACGACAAATCACTCTTCAGATTGACGTATAATTAAATTTTGAAGGCGATAGTTTGGTAAGTTACTGGTGCCAGCGCGTTGTCGTTTAGCATTTCTGTCTCCCCAACTCGCTCCCTATATAATCACAGTATTTAACTAGGGTTTCTGACTTTCCAGTTTCCACTCGTCATCTCAGCTGAGCAATTGTTGAACTCTCGTAGCCATCCACCATGGGTCGCATGCACAGTCGTGGGTCAGTTAGCTCTCTCGTCTCTTTCCCGATATAATCTCCATCTCTTCCTTTAAACTAACAATTTCTCTTGTTTTCTTTACAGCAAAGGTATCTCTGCTTCTGCTCTTCCCTACAAGCGCACTCCTCCTAGTTGGCTCAAAATCTCCGCTCAAGATGTAAAACTTGCAAAAACAATAGAAAACTCAATTTATTCCTTTTCTTTTTCATCAACCAAGCCAAAAAAAAAAAGGTTTAATACTTGTCTTTCTCCTATTCAGGTTGAGGAAAATATCTGCAAGTTTGCAAAGAAGGGCCTGACGCCTTCTCAGATCGGCGTCATTCTCCGTGACTCTCACGGTATTGCTCAGGTCAGGAGCGTAACTGGCAACAAGATCCTCCGTATTCTTAAAGCTCATGGTGAGTGGATATTATGGATTTTGTCATTCGGTGTGTATTCTGTGTTGTTGACATTGGGGTTTGCGGCGTGTTTGGTAGGGTTGGCTCCGGAGATTCCAGAAGATTTGTACCATTTGATCAAGAAGGCAGTTGCGATTCGCAAGCATTTGGAGAGGAACAGGAAGGATAAGGATTCCAAGTTCAGGTTGATTTTGGTGGAAAGTAGGATCCACAGGCTCGCTCGCTACTACAAGAAAACCAAGAAGCTCCCTCCTGTTTGGAAATAGTACGTTTCGTTACAATTCTCTTGTCATTTTTCACGGATGACTATTGTTTATTTTGTTATTTTTTGAGATGCAATTGATTTGTAGCTTGGTGCATGTTAGTATATATATAAGGATTTGCTATGTAACTATAGAATTTAATGAAAGAGATACATCCTGCGTTTTGGGTTTTGAGAATGTGAAAGTTGAGACATTGTTTTTTATTAGAGCTCTGTCAAGTGGGGCTGTGGAGAGACCAGAAATTACATATTTTTGTTTTTGTAGGACTACTTTTGTTTGATCATTGTAGATCTCTATGCTATTGTGTTATTTCACCCCAATTCTATTCTTTTCAGTATATCAGGTAAAATCTTAAATATGAATATGGGGAACTTTATGTCTTGATAATATCTGCTTGTAAATGTAATCCTTTTTTTAGTATGCTTATTGGAAACTTTTTCATGGGCACTTTGAAGCATTGCGGTCTTAGATGGATAGTAATCTTTGGAAAGGAAACAGTCTTTTCACTTTCAACGATAGTATAGATAGTATTGAACTATAACCTTGTGTTATTGACTTATTGGTATTGATAATTCTGATATCATCTATCTGCTGCTATATGCTTATTATGCTTGAACCATGTAGTTCTTGCACTTTTTTAAGAAGAAAATCTCGTTCTCTTTGCCTGTTGTGTCCTTGGCTTATTGTAGCTGATATATGAGTGGGTGGGTGGTTGTATTGTATATTTTTGTTCATGTATGTATGTGCCTATGTCTTGTTGGCCATGGCTGCTATACATTATTGCTAATTTTCATGCTTTTCCTTCAATACAACTGGTGATGATTTCCTCTTTTAATTAATTTATGCAGCGAGTCAACTACAGCAAGCACCCTGGTTGCTTAATGAAGGCGTGGCTACCTACTAGCTAGATGAGCAATTCTCTCATACTAGTCATATCGGATCTTTGTACTGAAATTGAACTCATTTACCTGAATTTTAGAGCAGACAGAAAACAATTTCTTGCATTTTTTAAAAATTTATTTTAGTTTTTAAAGGGAACAGATTACCTAATCTATTGTTTTTATTGGCAATGTTTCACACTTTATCCTATTGGAGCTGTAAAATTTTGATATGGGTTATAAGCTACATGTTTATGTTCAGTGAAAGGGATAATTTCACTCCTTCAACTCAGCATTAACCACTTTCAAGGTGCCTATTTGAGCAACATAATACCTTTAATTTATGTAACAGTAATATGTAACAATAACACGACTCTTACTGGATTCTGCTAAAATCAGAAAGTCCCAATATGAACAAATTATTCTAGTTCTTTCAACTGGTAGAAAACTTTCACTCGGTATCTTACACAACGGGGAACCTTTTACCTGTCCAGAAGGAGAGAGGGAAAAGATTCCTCTTGCAAGGAACGGCCGTCTGAGGACTATATTCCTTCCAAATCTTCGGCTCAATGATTCTTGCAGCCCGAAGCACATAAACTTGAAGATCTATTTCCTCGAAGGCGTCAAGGGTTTTCCTTTGGTATTCAAGAAAGTGAGAGAAGTCAGAAATTGGGAGGGAAAGAAAAAGACAAGGAGGAAGAACCGAAGAAGTAACAGATAAGAGCAGTAATTATATTATCAACCTTCTCGTATCTCGAGATCAATACTCCCTTACCGTATAGCTATTCAAAATATCACGTGGCGAAAACCTTTTTCTCTGCGTTTTTCAATTTTTTTAACTACATTTTTTGTTTAAGCTCTCTGCTATAATGTAGTGTCACAGCTCACAATTCATCTTTCTCAACTGTAACGAACAGTTCAAAGTTAAATTTCTATTGATAAATATCACAAGTTTTGTTTTAGCTTCAATGAGATTAATATTGTTGTATTGCAATTTAAGCTACAAAGTTAAGTAGCTACCCTGAAATTTATGAAGAGTGTTTATTGCAACATAAAAATGTAAGGATTTCCATGAAAATGGTAGGTCAATAATCTGCACTTCTCTGTTGAGTCTGCAAACTGGAACACATTATCACAGCAGTGAGATTCTGGTAAGTCAATTTTAAATCTTTTTCCTTTTTCTACCAAGTTGTGTTGGGGCTTAAAGAACCAAAAAATAAAATAAAATAAGAAGGGAAAAAATAACTTACACGCACAAAATTCACTTCACAATTTCATGAAAAAATTTTGATTGCCAAATGTACAAATGTACAACTATGTCAAACAGAACAACTGGGTTCACAGCTAAAACACTAACAACCTCCAGGAGAGTCCATTTGCAACAAATATGCTAGTGGAAATTTAGCACAGCCATGTGAACAGTCGTGTGCAAATCTAATTTAACCGGTTGCCTTAGGTTCTGACAACAATTTGGTTGTAGTGTACAATGATTGCATATAAGAAGAGAGTAAAAATGGAAGAAAACTCGCCCAGGTAGACTGCAAAATGCTTTCAGTGTCTATAATTTGTTCTTTCTTCAGTAGTTCACAAAGATTTGAAATATCTTTCTGATCAATGAGGAAAACTTCTGCATTACTAAGTAGCTGCTCGTCTACAGTATGTGATTCTGAACTTTCTGATGCAGGAGGCAATTGATTTTTTCCAGATGGACTTTCGGAGTTTTCTCTATGTTTGGGCTGATCATCTGGATCTTCTTTCTCGTTCTCTTTTTCACTGTGACTCCCACCAGTACCATCTTTAGGGATGCCCCGGACTAAATCTGGTCGAGCTTCAACCCCAACTCGTCGCAAGTGTAGCTATATGCAGATATACAGTTAGTAATACAGCATATGTTGGCAAGCAGAGTGTATATAAGCAAGCATAGATATTCTATCAACCTGAAGATGCAAGTTGACTTCATCTGGGCGAGAAAGAAATGGGAAATCTCCTCCTGTTTTCAAGTAAGCCCGCCTTGCTTCAGGATATCTTTCACCCAATTGGTCTTTGAGTTGTTGAGGAATTGCACAATAATCATTTGTCTTCGATGAGTAAGCAGTAAATATGCGAAGGTTCAATAGGGTTATTAGCAAGCATTTAACTTTAGTAATCAAATTAAAAAGGCACATAGCAAAGCTTTAGTTGTAACTGTCTTTTGTACAGGGAATAAGTTACGGTCCAGTTTCCTTAAAATGAAAAACAACTTCCTCAATCACCTTGTTATCTAGATTCTAATAATGCATGAGTAGTGGAATGATTTCTCAAAACACATATAAAAGCAAGCTTCAGCTTACATCCATTATAGTGATGCAGGAATCTGAAAGTAGAAGAGATCCAACTGAAGCAGCATCAACATTCAAGGTCAACCTGGAAGCCAAGTCTTCTCTTGAAAGCGTTTCAACCTGAATTAATAAGCACGAGTCACAAAGTTAAAGGACAGCAAAATACGAAGGCTCCAACGTTTGATAATCACCATGCTAACCACCAGTCCATCAGTAATCACCCAGCCTGGCCACTGTCAAAGTCACAGTCGACAGTAAAAGTAATACAGAACTTTCCTCTATATTCTACTGATTCTGAACTTGAAATTTCTCCTCTCAATTAGATCTACTAATTCATTTTCTTTTCTACTGAAAAATATGTATTGAACTTGTTTCATGAACGGGTGCTTTTCTCAACATGATTAATTAATGAAAAAGTGAATATTGACATGTGTGGACAAAAATCACTCATGAGCATATACAAAATCTTTGGACTTCTCTACTTTTAACTTTACTCTTACGAAGTGTCTTGGACAAATTACTAGACTGGTTTCTTCAATGTATTATATTATTTGGATGTGTTGATTACGAGTCCTAACATGTCTTGCATTCTTCATTAGTTCAAAGTGCAAGGATAAAGAAAACGAATAAGCATGCAACACTCTTGTTTGACAATATGTGTCTATGAAGGAGAATGGCAAAGTGGTGAATTTTGATTGTTATCATTCTTACTAATCATTCACCAATCACAAAATCGTATTATGTGATATATGTGTCTATACCACTAAGTAGTCTGAAGATTGTGTACTTGGCATCTCTATGTATTCCGCAAGTTTGTACTTATTCCTATAGAAGTTTGATCATCTCCACTTTTCCCCTGTTTGTTTTAATAACAAGAAATAAAATTTGCCAGAGACTAGACAACAGAAAATAACTTTTTCTGAAAAGAACATTTTGCATAGACAAATTATTTTCTGTAAAACAAACAAAGCTTGAGCATAAGTAAGAATGAATCCACCTTATACAGAAGATAGGGAAACATTCTCCTTACTAATAGGTCATAGAAATTTTAATAACACTAAAAAAGCCAAAAACAAATGCAAAGTCCAGCGATTCCAAGAATAGCAACACTATTCAGCAAGGAACCAACATTCAAAATGAAGAACATGCATGCTGTTCTACACTTGTTATATCCTTAATATTTTGAACAAGAGACTTTTGTTTTAAAATAAGTGAACTGAAACGCTATGGTAACATTTTTAGCAAATAACATGAGCAACTCCAATCTCCAGAACGTGAATAATCTATGACTGCAGTTCCCACCCTCTGAAATCTGAACATGGTAACATTTTTAGCAAATAACATGAGCAACTCCAATCTCCAGAACGTGAATAATCTATGACTGCAGTTCCCACCCTCTGAAATCTGAACATGGTAACATTTTTAGCAAATAACATGAGCAACTCCAATCTCCAGAACGTGAATAATCTATGACTGCAGTTCCCACCCTCTGAAATCTGAACATGGTAACATTTTTAGCAAATAACATGAGCAACTCCAATCTCCAGAACGTGAATAATCTATGACTGCAGTTCCCACCCTCTGAAATCTGAACATGGTAACATTTTTAGCAAATAACATGAGCAACTCCAATCTCCAGAACGTGAATAATCTATGACTGCAGTTCCCACCCTCTGAAATCTGAACATGGTAACATTTTTAGCAAATAACATGAGCAACTCCAATCTCCAGAACGTGAATAATCTATGACTGCAGTTCCCACCCTCTGAAATCTGAACATGGTAACATTTTTAGCAAATAACATGAGCAACTCCAATCTCCAGAACGTGAATAATCTATGACTGCAGTTCCCACCCTCTGAAATCTGAACATGGTAACATTTTTAGCAAATAACATGAGCAACTCCAATCTCCAGAACGTGAATAATCTATGACTGCAGTTCCCACCCTCTGAAATCTGAACATGGTAACATTTTTAGCAAATAACATGAGCAACTCCAATCTCCAGAACGTGAATAATCTATGACTGCAGTTCCCACCCTCTGAAATCTGAACATGGTAACATTTTTAGCAAATAACATGAGCAACTCCAATCTCCAGAACGTGAATAATCTATGACTGCAGTTCCCACCCTCTGAAATCTGAACAGGTGGTTGTTGATGATATAGCAAAATGAAAAGAACATCATGACCCTCAACAATTGTAGATGCAAGCCTTACAAGATGGAGTTTGATTGTAGGATAAAAAGATCAGAGAACATTAAAAGCATCAAAAGGAGACTGCTTAGACATCATAGAGATAATGTTAATGAACAACTGACATGGGCTTTTCAGCAAGGTCTGTAGAATTAGGTTTAAGACACTACCTGAGAAACAACAAAATCCACAGAATCTGCAATGAATGGTTCATGAGGACCATCACGAATTCCAGTTAAGACATAACGCTTAAGCAAAAATGAAGGGGTCCAGCTAACACTGCATGAATAATATACAAATCAATTTGTTAGATAAGATTATAAATTTATGCCCGGGAAAACATGCCAGAGAAAAAAAAAAAAAAATCAATTTTTAGGTAATGCAATCTTTAGGTAGAGGAAATGTTTCATTCACATAATATCATTGTCTCTTAATATCTCATAAAAAGCTCCCCTGGTTATTAGCCATCCCTAATTAATATGAACTGTATTCTTCTGGTGTGCAGTGTACCTATACAAAATGTCATGTATCCTTTCTATTTTGCATAATCATAGAATCTTTCATGCATATGATTTCCATGTTATCAAGTGATCAAATATGTATTGTAATATAATGCCAATGATTCTACTAAGGAAGATGGTTAATAAAATAATAAAGATTATATAATAATATGACAACATACACTGGAGCCCATGGCATTGCAGCTGCAAAATCCCGTGTGTCCAGAAATGTATTTGACAGTATTAGTGACCTCACTCGTCTTGGACGATGCTGTGCGAAAAGTTGTGCTAAGAAGCCCCCGAGAGATGAGCCATACAGATGTACCTGTTAATACACATTATTCAATCAGTTCTCAGTAACAAAAGTTGACAATAAGATGAATGAAAATAGTAAGCGATATATGCAAATATATAACTAGTTACTTTCAGTTTGATATATAAACTGAACTTATGCCACTGGTGAGCAAATTTACAATCTCTTCCTTTTATGATAGGCCCCAATTAATCCAAATGCCAACAATAAATTATTACTCAATCTATAAGTCCCTAGTGATTAAAGGAAATCAAGAAACAATAGAGTATTTTAGCATTATATTGATTCCATGATGCACAAAACTCTCAGCCATGGGTGTTTCCCTCCGTTTCGGAAATGTTTCCGCATATTCGTCTCTCCTTATAATTTTCCCATCTAAAAGTATAATTAAAATGTTGTTTTTCTGTATTATTTCCATGTTTCCACGTTTTTGCATATCCATTTCTGTGCAACACAATGATCACAACAATGATAATCTTATAAACTTTTGATCACTATGAGCATGCTATTTCATGCTTTTACTCATAGTTGATTGTCACACAAATTCTTACCAATTCTCTACAGCTTGACTGTGTAGATCTGGTTCAAAGACTATTTAACATGAACCAATATAGTTAGAAAATATAGCATGTGTTGTTCGGAAACTATGAGCAAAACAGCAAAGGTTATCCTTTACAAGAAAAAACATAAAGGAAATGGATCTATCTTGTAACTCCTTGGCGTTGAACCAAATACATATAAATAGAACTGAAAAAGGTACCAAAAGTTTCTCTCATAGGTTAGTAATATAGAATATACGAGATGTGTGGTGCTTAGATATCAATGAATCAACCTTATAATAAGTTCTGCTGTTCTGGTCCTTCTGGACTCAGTAACTGCTAACAAAGCATTTTACAATCTAAACTAAGTTAAGCGACCACTCTAAAAAGGGTGACTCAGTGCACACTATTTGTTAGCTCTGTGAAGAATTAATATATGCAGCCTTCACATTACTTTTGTAGAAAGTTATTTCCATGGCTCAAAGTAACAAGTGGAGTAACTTCATCATTACAGACCTTTAAAATAGCAGAAGCACTTGAAATCATTAAAAAGCTGTGTCAAGAAAAGCAAACATTTGGCACACTATAAGAACACCATGTACAAAGTTTCAATGTGATATGACAGCTTCATGGGCTAGGAAAAGTATGTGATACATGCTAATGAAGGTCTTACATGATGAACATCGATGACATCCAAAAATTTTTCAAATGCTTGGATCCATTCATGATGATTCCATACACGCGGAATATCAATAGAAATCACCCGATAACCCTGAATTTGCCAAAAAAAAAAAAAAAAAAAATATAAGAAACAGGATGAGAGCAACTACAAAGAGATAAATTACAAAACGAAAAAAATAATGGACAAGTTGCCTGTCCGACCAGGCATCATAACACCAATTTTTGGGTTGGGTTTTCAGTTCATAACTTTTCAATATTTTATTTTTAAACTTGAAAATATTTTATATGTTAATATAAAAGAAATTTAATATATTTTGATAATATTTTTAAGAAATTGGCCATAGGACTTGTTACCTTCAACTTAACAGACTGGTCCAGTTTTTAAAGGACAGGTCACAGTAAAAGGTCAAGCAGTTTGCTTCCCACGAGAAAATAAAATAAACAAAGCAGTCCAAATGATTGCCGTCATGTATGATGTGAATACAGTTGAACCTTATAATTATATAGTTCCCGAGCATTTATCATATATTTAGCATATTTCTGTTGAAATGGATAATATAGATTGAACTTAGAATAGAATGAAGGCATGATGCATATTTCTATATCTAATAATACACATATCTCCAAGTTCCAACATGTTCTGAGTCTACATGACCCATGAGGTATTCTCCTTGACCATTAAGTACCGAATGGGACAACTTAGCCCCTAGGTTCCATAACTGATGAACTAGAATTGATTTTGTGAAGAGAAGTTTTTGCTTTTTCCATTTTAGCGACAGAAAAAGGCAGATTCATATAAAATTGAAGTGAGAATGAGATCAATAATGTAACTTGTTCTAAATAGCTTAGAAGCAGAAAAGGAAAAGAACTAACTCAATTGCAAAGATAAGAAAAGCGGGGCTTATTATTATATAAAAGATATATGATAATTCTATTGATATACATATCATGCTGGCGACTACCGAATGATAAACTTGCCATGTACTCGACAATTATGGCAAGAATAAATCTTTCCAAACAAAAAAGTTGTTTCGATAATTTTAGTTGGTTTCCTTATATTTCCTTTGAGAAACAGTAATCCCGCATCATGTACCATGCTTTAGGACATGACATCATCAGTCCCAAGCGAGTACTGGCTTTCTCTAGAACAGCTATACAAGCAACATATAATCCTATGTAATGCGCATGAAAAACTCAATTGTCAACAAATTATTCCACAAAAGAAATAAAAAGCAGAAAAAGAAAACCTAAACATGTCAATCCACTTTCTAGCTAGCTACAAAATCTGGTTAATTACCTTCATGGACAATGACATTATCTGTTTATAGTAAACATCCGCTGTCCCTGCTATTCCAGGAAGACAAATAAGAGGTGGAACCACTTTTGGACCAAAATCGTAATACCGCCACTGCTTTGTGCCAATCTTTTGAGGAGAACAAACAGCAAAATGAAAAGGTAAAATACAAGTTCAGATGGTAAAATACAAGTTCAGATGGATCACATAAGAATCTTCAAGAAAAAGAAAATAAAAATGTGCCTTTACTTGAATCAAACAACTGACAGAAAACAAAGAGCCTATCTTTATAAACAAAAGGCAGTAAGATAATAAAATGGAGAATGCGAATCCGTGGAATTCAATACTAGCACTCAATATAAGCAACACTTAAATGAGTAAAATATAAAATAAAAATCAAGCTCATAAGAATATAGAGCTACAACCTCAATCAATTACTGGTTGAAGCATGTCGAGACCAAATATTGCATCTTTTAGATTGATAGAGACACCAAATCCCATCAATGGGGTACTTGTATGTAAGTCTAAGTTTGTCAGTGACATATACAAGACTTCATGATTAAAACAAAAAGCATGCCCAGTAGCCAGAGCAAATTAACAAGTAAAAGCCATGATCAAACAAGAAATAAAAACACAGATCAATACATGTCGAAATTGACAAAAAAAAAAAAAAGAAAACGAAACCCAGTGCAGAAAATTGGCCAAGGAGAATGCAACTACCATTAAAACAAATTCAAACCCAGTAACAAAATGAAGGTAACTGATAAAACCCATGGCCAAATTCATATTAAAATGGCAAAAAATCGAAATCAATAGAAAGGAAAAACACTAACAGGGATCTTGTGAAGAGGAACTTGAGACTTGAAGTAAACATAATCACCGGGCGCCGACGAGACGCCTTTCATTGCTGATTGCGGCTATGAAACATAAAATCTCATGAGAGGAAAAGAAAGAAAAGGAAATTGGATTTGATAGATCAAATCACTGTTTATTTCGAGAATAAAAGCTATTTCCTCTTTTCCCCTATCATCTCTCTCATTATTATTGATGATCGTGTTAGTATTGGCTGTTCGTTTAAATTTTCAATTTCTATTTATTTGTAATTATCGGAGAAAGTGGTTGACCGGATGAATAAACACACGTGGCTTGGTCTCAACGGTCAATTCACGGTAACGTTTTCAACTGCTCGTCAGCGTTATTCTGTCTTGCTCGCTGGAATTTTAGGTTCACCAGAAAGTATTTTCTATCGTTCCAACGACACGAAAAAGTACATTCCTCCTTATCAACTTACTAGCCCGTCGTTTAGGAATTCTAGTTTATTGTGGTAGTCGAACGACCATGCGACTGATCTCTACAGATGGGCTATTGGGCTCCGGCCCATTATTCACTGACCTGCAAACGCCATTTTTTCTTAAGAAATAATTGACGAGAATACGAGCGTCTCAACAGAGACAAGCGTTCTCTTCTTTTGCGGTAGGGAGTCTTGCTTCTGAACAAATACTCGTCGTCTTAGTTTTTCTCGTTTCTTTACCCATGTTATTCTTTTGATTCATGCTTTCTTTTGTACATACCTTTTGACGTTAACTATGTTGCTCAAACTTCGTGTTTGTTTCCGTTCAATACAGTCCAGACAGCTAAACCCATGTCTCAATTTGTTTAGATACTGTCATTTCGATTCAAAACTGGGTTCTAATTCTACAAACCCAATAACAACTGTTACACCAATAGAACCCCAAAATAATGTTGCAATTTTCTGGGATTTGGACAACAAGCCACCAAATTCATTCCCGCCATATGAGGCTGCTTTTAGGCTTAAAAAGGCTGCGTCTTCGTTTGGGGTTGTTAGATATATGGTGGCGTATGCTAATCGGCATGCGTTTAGTTATGTGCCAAATGTTGTAAAAAAGCAAAGAAAAGAAAGAAAATTGTTGAATCAGCTAGAGAATAAGGGTTTGATTAAACCAGTAGAACCATATTTGTGTAGAGTTTGTGGTAGAAAGTTTTATAATAATGAGAAGTTAATTAATCATTTTAAGCAAATTCACGAGCGTGAACAGCAGAAGCGGTTGAATCAAATAGAATCAGCTAGAGGGAATAGGAGAGTTAAGTTAGTGGCAAAGTATGCAATGAAGATGCAGAAGTATAAGAATGCTGTGAGGGATGTTTTGACTCCGAAAGTAGGATATGGTCTGGCAAATGAGTTGAAAAGGGCAGGGTTTTGGGTTAGGACTGTATCAGATAAGCCACAGGCTGCGGATTTGGCATTGAGGGACCATATGGTGGATGTGATGGATAAGAGGAAGGCTGATTGTTTAGTACTTGTATCAGATGATTCGGATTTTGCTGGCGTTTTAAAGCAGGCTAAGTTGAGATGTCTGAAGACTGTTGTGGTTGGGGATATTAATGATGGGGCATTGAAGAGGGTTGCTGATGCTGGTTTTTCTTGGCAGGAGATTTTGATGGGGAAGGCTAAGAAGGAGGCAGTATCAGTTGTGGGGCGGTGGAAGGACCGTGACATGTTGGAGAGACTAGAGTGGACACACGATCCAAAGGAGGAGAAAAATTTTTCTAGTGTGGTTAATGCTTTTGATTATTGTGGAAGTGATGATACTTGTGATGATGATGATACTTGTGATGATGATGATGATGATGGCGATGCTGATGATGGTGATTGTGATAGAGAGTGTGGAGGTTTTGGTGGTATCTTTGATGAAGATGATGTTGACTGTAAGCAAAAGGAAGCTGCGAGTGCTTGGTGGGAGTTGAATTCTGATCCAGAGGCTAATGCTTAAAAACATGCTTTGGTCACAAGATCAGTTTTTATTACTTGGGTGAAGTTCACCATTACATTTTATGAGGTTTGACAAGCAGACCACCTGGAACCATGGCCTATGATTCCTGTAAGTGGCCAGAATTATGCTGGACTATAAATATTTTTTTATCTGTTTCTATTAGAGTAAAAGTGTGTGCCATATAGATTTTTTTTAGCCATTTGCCATGGTATCTCATCTAAATATTTGATGAGCTTTCTCTTGGTTTTTGTATTGTTGAACTCCATCACAGTTCATTTTTTTGTGGATGTTGAAACACTGGCTTGTATATGCCCACTGTTTGGTCTCTTCATATTGCTACATTCAGGACACTGGTCAATAAGCTACAAATATAAGACCTTGCATCAAATCTTCATAAATAGCTATAAAAATCTTGATACTTTTGGCATAGAGTGTGATCCTAGACAGTAAAATAGGTGAAGCAGGATTTATGTACAATGAAGGGCTCTGTTGAGTTCAGTAGTTCTATTGTTATTATTTTAGCCTCAATAGAATTGCGCACCTTTTGTGATGGAAATTCAAGCAGATACGCGCTTGTTTATGGTGTTGATCTTTTCACACTGACAGCAATTATTAGTGGATTGAAATTCATAATATGTTGCAGATTGTTCATTTCTACTTTCTGTTGGAGATAGTCTTTACTCGATATTTAATTTATATCCATCGTAAGTTGATGGTGAACAGTTGCAATCCAAATGCCAAAGGAATAAATGATCACCAATAATTTTGACAGGAACATTCTATTTAAATTTCAGCTCCAAAATGCGATTATTGCTATGGAGATAACATGTGATAATTTGAATGTAGCTGGAAAGTTTTGGGCAGATGTACAGGAAATTATAAGGTATTAAATTCTTTTTTCTAGATTTGGCTGTGATTAGCAAGCGCATGGACTTCATATGGTCGATGATGTGTTTTTCTCGGATGCAGATGGTTCATTGCTGGATCAAGGGGTATTATGTACCTTAGTTGAGAAATGATCTTCATTGTCTCTAACAATGAAATTTTCGAACTGGAGCCTAAAATCCATTTTTCTGCTGATGGCAAGCACTGAAATATGAAATCAAGAATGAGACCTTCGTGCGAAATTGAATAATTGAATTTGATATTGAATCGATCAACTACTTCAAAAAGGAAGTAGCTTCCTTTATGAATGTTGAATTTATCCGAATAATTCTCTATTCTAACAAGAATTTATACATGTTACTTTTCAAATATATATATGCTTCTTGGTCCAATCCATTTCCCATGATTGTGATTACATGAAAATGAATTGTTTCTATCCTATCTAGGAATGAAAGGGAGAAAAACATCAAAGCTTTTTCAGGCTGTACAATTCAAAGTTGTCCATCCAAAAGAGAAATTTTTTATCAAACATTAGACTGTTAAGTTTGGCTGCTACCTGCTAGAAATTGATCTGGTAGCAAATGCCAAACCAATAATATGATATGAACTTTGTTAATTATTGCTACGAAGATGCTATGTGAGAATATGAAATTACAAGGTGTTATATTTTCCACAATTGACTTTGATTAGCAAGGGCATTCAAATGGTTTATTGCAGCCTAGAAATGCTCTTCCTCATGTTGTGAGAATTTTCAAACTAGAGCCCATCAGCAAACACTAATGGCTGAACTTTTGGCGTACAATCAAGAATGAAGCTTTTCTGGGAATTTGCATATTGATCAACTACTTCAAGAGATTAATTTTTTACAATATTTGATTGTTAGATTTTAAATGCTAGAAATTGATCTGTTACCAAATTTCAATTTAATTACTGAATTTTAAAATAGGAGGCAATCCTTAAGTTTGGAGAAGGAACAGTTGTGAGAAAGCTCTAAAATGCGACGCTTCAAAACAAAATCCTTTTAAGTTCTTCCAGCAAGAATAAACAGTCAATCCATGCTCAAATCAGAAGCAATTCAATGACAGTCAAATAGATCAACAAGGAGATGCAGACGATGCAAATGACTATGGAAATGCAAACTTTGAGATAAACTCGTGTCATTATAAAGACATAAATACTTAACAAAAAGCTTGTGTAACTAACAATATATTCAAACTAAATTGAGACTACTTGCTTAGTGATTCCTAATTCCAGGATTGCAAAAACACCAAAACCTCAAAATAGTGAGCTGCTGTCACCTATCTCTTTTCTGAAAGATGTTCTTTTGGGAAAATCATATTGCTTCTGTTATTATTGGCTTAGTCTGATCAACAAATACAGGAACGGAGTTATTAAATCTAGCTGATGTGCAAAAAATAGAGAAGAAAAGATACAATATCTAACTGAAAACCAAGTGAAATCATCAGTCAGTGCATAAATTTCTACGTAGTGATGCAATCAAGAAATGACAAGAAAAAGAAGTGAAATTTATAGTATTGGTATTTGCAATCTTTACTTCCCTATTATATTGTTCAGTAGGTTCGCCATGTTTTCTTCTCAAGTTTCTGTGTCCTACATCAACATTACAAAAATATGAATGACAAATAAAAGGGTAAAACAAACTACAGGGAGTATTTACATGCCATGCACACATTTACTCAATGAACAAAAGACCAAAATAAGTCATGCCAATGCAGATTTTACCATTACAAGCATTTTTTCAATATCTAGCCACCTACATTAGGTATATTCTGATGCAAATATATACTTACACTTGTGCATAATATAAAGAAAAGAAGCGCAGAAGCACCGTTAATTTCCAATCTCTTCCCAATCAAGTAGTATTAATAAAAGCAAGGGGATATAAGCTTAATCCAAGATTAAAAGTAATTTATTGAAATTGCTTCAAAAATCATCAAAAAAATTACATTATCTACACTCTAAACTATAAATGAAGCAATATGTGGGGAGAAATTAAGAATAAATAACCATTACTGTTCGATACAAATCAGATATGCCCTGCAAAGCATATTCTCATCAAATCAAACACATTGCAAGACAAATATTCCTCCTTGTGTCAATAATCAAATGAACCAAAGATATCAAAGTATGTGCCAACAAAGATAAATCAAATTTAAAGCATATTTATAATTCACCATGAAGAAGTCTTCTTCTTTGACCCTGAATAATAACTGAGGTACCATCTCACAAACTTCTTAAGCCCCGTCTCCAAATCAGTAGTAGGCTTATATCCTAGATCCTTCTGTGCCAAACTAATATTAGCATGTGTAAACTCCACATCCCCATTTCTAGGCAAAGGCAACACTTTTTTCTTAGCTTTAACTTGCAAAAGGCTCTCTAAAATCCCAACAAGCCTACTCACAGGAACAGGGGAAGTATTCCCCAAATTGAAAACCCTGAATTGAGCTGGCCCTCTCTTCTTCCCTCCGCTTCCTGTACTCTTCTTTGCAGTATCCAGAGCTGCCAAACAACCATTAACAATATCATCAATGTAAGTAAAATCTCTAGCCACACTTCTTCCATCAGCAGTTTCAAAGACACCAATCTCCTTCCCCTTTAGAATATCCTTGGTAAAAAAGAAATAAGCCATATCAGGTCTGCCCCATGGACCATAAACAGTAAAGAACCTTAACCCAGTAATTGAAAGACCATAAATATGATTATAAGTATGAGCAATTTCCTCTCCTGCTTTCTTAGTTGCTGCATATAAACTCGCAGGCTGATCAGTCCTATCTTTCTCTGAAAAGGGTACTTTCGAATTAAGCCCATAAACTGAACTAGAAGACGCCCAAACAACTACAGGTTGTGGGTTAGCTGATTTACATACTTCAAGCAAATTGACAAACCCACCAATATTACTATGAACATAAGATTTTGGATTCTGCATTGCATAACGCACCCCAGCTTGAGCAGCTAAATGCATAACATGGGTAAAAAACACAACATCAAAAAGCTTTTTCAATAAAGTCATGTCATTTATATCTCCTTCAACAATAAAAACCCCAGATCGCTCCAGTACCTTTTGCCTGGCTCTTTTGAGATTAATATCATAGTAATGATTGAAATTGTCAAGCCCAAGTACTCCATCACCGCGTCGTTTCAGGGAAACGGAGACATGGGTTCCGACAAACCCAGCAGCACCGGTGACTAGAACGGTCAGGCCACCACGCGACTTGGGACGCGCCGATTTGACTACTTTTTTTTCCCATAGAGGACCGCCCGGTGGATAGGTGTTGGGTTGGTGGCGAGAGGAAGGAGAAGGAGAGGAAAGGAGAAAGAAGAAGAGAAAAAGAATTAGAAAGAGAAAGGAATAGAAAGTGAGTTTAGAGAGAGAAGAGTGTAACCGGAGAGAGCGATGGTGCGGATGAAGGTACGCTGACGATTTGTCCGGTTTGAATTTGCCTGGTGTAGAAGGTGGAGTAGTATCAAGGAGTGAGGCCATATTGGATAAAAAAATATTAGCAACCAAAACTTTTTGATTCTGGGTTTAATTGATACGCGGTAATGGTGGTGGTGGAGACGGCGTTTGTGACAGCGGAAAAAGGGGATGGAGGTGTTTTACATGGATTGCATTGGGTTCTCTCTTTTCTGTCAAAGCGGTGGCTTTTACGAGTCAAGTGTGGTGGGAAAGAGAAAGTTGGAACATTTGCAAATTTATGGAGAGAGCGAGGGAGGTGAAATTTGACCAAATTTTGATGATTTGTTGACAGATTTTGTGAGGGTTAGATTAATGTTGATCCTTCTGTTATTAATATCTCATAATTTTCTTATTAATATCTTTCAATTAAAATTAAAATGAAAAAAAAGGGAAAATATATGAGATTAAAAAGATGTTCTTTTTTTTGGAAAAAACAATTAAAAATACCAATTTCTTTTTAAGGGAAAATTAAAATACCAACTTAGGAAGCAGAATTTGGCCCATTGTTTAATTATTAGATTTAACATGAACATTCAATAAAAAGGAAAAAAACAAAAAAAAAAAGAAAAAAAAAAGAGAAGAATACGAAATTGAATGCTTGATGTGGATAAAAACAAGATAAATAAAAATCCAGGGCAATTGATTTTTTTTTTTTTTAATCCACAAGTATAGCTTCAACAGAGAAAAGAAAATATCAAAAGGAAATTACTTATAGTATAGTAGCGACTATCTCGCGTAATTTTTCTGAGTACAAGCTCAGATTTGTGACTGGCTATTTTTATATAATTAAATTCTCCAAAGTGCATTTTTTGTTTGTTTGTACTAAATGTAATTTAATTTTTTTATTAATTTATATATATAATTTCTTTATTACTTTTTTTATTATAGGCAAAATTGTTGTTTGTTTTACTAATGTAATTAATTTGTTTATTAATTTAATATATATAATTCTTTATTACTTTTATATAAATAATAATATATTATTTTTATTATAAATAATAATATTATAAACAGTTATATTACTTAAAAATCTAAAAACATTCACAAAATAAAATAGAGAAAAGAAAATTCTATGAAATAATAAAATAAAAATTTAATAATTAAATAGCTTGCGAAGGAAAGAAGGTACTTATAATAATAATAATATAATATTATATGACACTCAAATTTTCGTGAAAATAAAATTACATATCAATCGATTTAATTTTTTTTATAATTATTTTTATTTAATTTAATTTTTGATTCGTATATATAATAAATTATCTGTTTACCAAAATATGAGAAATCAGTGTTAGCTATTAAATAATTAATAAAAGTAATTTTTTTAGCATTATTTATAATTTTGGTGTTTTTCTTTTTTCTTTTTTTTACTGTTAAAGTATATTAGTATATAATTAATTTATGGTTACTTTGTTTGAGAAAAAAAAAAATCTTTCTATGAATTATATGGTGCCAATATAGAAAAAAAAAATCCTTCTATGAATTATATGGTGCCAATATAAATACATGATTATATATATATATATTTTTAGTGAGTTTTATTTTTTATTTATATTAAAAAATAAATCTAATAATATATTTCTTAATAAATAATAATCAAGTGCATTTATTTTTTGTGGAGTAATTTACTTGTAGGAAATAATTATAACTAATATATATTCATTAAAAACAATAATGGAACATATTATAGTTTTGTCATATTTAATATGTACCTTATATTGTATAATATAACCAATCAAAATAAAATTAATTTTATTTTTTCAACCAAATAAAATTAAAATCCTTAAAAGATATTATATCCTTACCACATTTAATATATATAATATAATTTCTTACCTTATCCAATAAAATTTAGATTTAAATAGAAAACTTATATTACCAATCAAAATTAAATTACATTTATTTTTTTAACCAATAAAATTAAAATAAATCGAGATAATAATTTATCTCTACACAGTAAGTCGAGATAATAATTTCTGTCAAATTTCATAGATTTGATAGTAATTTATCTTTTATTTTATTTTTTTTTCCAACTTATCTTGAATGTTTATGGGCCATATCATACGAAACCATTTCCTAAAATATTAGATTGACAATATAATGAGATTGCAAAAAGTTGTAGTTTCAAATATTCAAAATAAGTAGGCATAAGATTTTTCTTGTTTTGACATTAGCAATTTTGTTTAATTGGCAGTCTTTACTTTGTCTTTTTAGAACATTGAACCATATTGAATGAGCACATTCATGCATGGCTGAGAAGATATCTTTGAACATTGCAGATTGATAAGGAAAGGATTATGAATACCATTCGCGGCTTCATCTTAAAGAACATTCCAGTATATAATGGAGTAGCAAATGAAATGATTATTATTATTACTATTACTGCTGGTCCTTTTACTAATGTAAAATGTCCAAATTTAGAATCTTGGTAGCTATCATTTTTTCCAAAAAAAATAAATGTAATGGATTTTAAAAAATAGTAATTAGAAAGGTCATTAATGGAGGTGGGTGAGAGAGCTATGGATGCATAATGCATTTTGGTTGAAATAGTAACAAGAAGGTGAGCAGTGAAAAGGAGAAACTTGCAAAGAAGGCAACTATATTTTCCTCAAAGATACTTATATGGTATCTTGTTTTCTAATTTAAGTTAGGTTTTGTTTCTCATGTTTTTTTTTTCTTTTTTTTTTTTTTATAAAAAAATTGGTGAAATCCCAGACATTCACCAAATTCACTTGTGTAATTTCATCATGAAAATTAACCTTCAAGAAACATGTTATACATGTCTTTGGCACAATTCTTTTCCCTAGTTTAATTCGATATGTTATTCAACTTCATTTCTTCAATATATATGGTAATCAATACTAAAAAAAATAATATATATATATATATATAGAGAGAGAGAGAACTTCACAGTTTGAAAAGTTTCTATCGTGGATGACTATACTGGTGGACTACATTTTCGATTGAACTTTACTTATAAAGTCAGGAGTTAAAAAATTAAAGTCGCGATTGCTAGGAGAGATTTATCTTTAATATAAACAAGTTGTGATTGCTCTTACTTATATATATATACTGATCGAGTGATTTTCTATCGATAAAGATTATGAGTTAGAACAGAACAAGTGATCGCGAGAGTAACTTTCATATTAACTTAGGTCAGATATTAAGAATTCAAATAAAATGAACAAAAGAGTGAACTAAAAGTGATACCAAAACAAAATGAATTAAAGAACACATGAGCCAAATTGAAGATAGTGGAGAAAAATGGCTTAATTAGAGAGTAGTTGAGGAAAAGTTCGATTTAGACTGTATTGGTTTCGATTTTATGGTTATAACTTAACCACTCCTATTGTCTTCATGCATCGACGGTTACAATGTGACGGTTTTTTTCACATGGCCACCGGCCGGACGTATTCCCTTTCTCGAAGCTGGTGCAAAAATTTGTACAGACAACCAAATTTCCATATTTGGGAGACAAGGTGAAAGGAAAGTAAATAATAAGAGGTATAATAATTCAAATAATTAGATTAAATTATTTAATTAGTTAAAACTCGCGGTTGGATAAATCACTAATCCTGAATGAGTGTAGAGACAGTGTGCAAATAAAAAAATTGCGTTTAAAACTCTAAAACGACAAAGAAATTAATACATCAAATATCCCAATATTTGCTATTCACGTCACTTCTTGTTTGGCTATATTTGCACATCAACATTTTTGGCCTGCAATTTCTTCAAGTTATAAAAGATCTATCTCTTCGTAATCAAAGATGGAACCAGAAAATAGTGTTTCCAGAGGGACTCAAGTTAAGCTATATTCAATAATTAAAGCCTAACAGCTTTATTCCGTACTTAAAAGCCTAACCACTATATTCTTAGCTATAAAACTCCCTCTTATCCTCTTTGGAAGGACAGTTGACATATTCTACGGAATACTATTTTTCTTATTAGTCTCAGTTTAATTTTTGTAACTAACAATCATGTATATTCCTTAAAAGCCTTTTCGAATCTTGATACACCCTCATCACAGGAAGAAACTCACCATGGAAATTGCTTCAAGTCTTCATTTCACCTTCTTCATGTTCATGTTTCTGCTCCTTTTCGCATTTTTTTTAAACAAACCAGAATCCTCCTATAGCTTCACCTCCAAGAACCGAATTTACTCCAAGTTCGGTTCAGTTTTAGAAACCCAAATACCAAGAAACCCCAAAATCAATGATTACTCTGGTCCAACACCTAAACACCCGTTAGATCCACTTACAATACAAGAAATCAATAAGGTTAGAGCCATTCTTTTATCTTTCTATAAGCCCTTTTTGTCTTCTAACAAGTTTCCTACTATTCATTCTTTATCACTTGATGAGCCTGAAAAGTCTTTAGTATCGGAGTGGAAACAAGGTGACCCTTTCCCTCCTAGAAAAGGACTGGTAATTGCAGTCTTGAATGGTCAAACTCATCTTCTCAATGTTGACTTGGCTTTGGGCCAGGTCACAGCCCATGAAATCAACTCAGCTTCAGGTTATCCTATGCTGTCCATGGAAGATATTTCAGCTGCAGTTCAAGTAGCACTGTCTTACAAGGAGCTGAACCAGTCTGCTATAGCAAGAGGAGTTCACTTATCAGATTTGTCTTGCATAACCCCCTCACCTGGTTGGTTTGGGTCTCATGAAGAAGGAAGAAGGGTTATTAAGGTCCAATGCTTCTCTAGCCAGGGTACACCAAATTTTTTCATGAGACCACTTGAAGGGTTAACCATGACAGTAGACCTTGACAAGAAAGAAGTGGTAAAATTTTCTGATACAGGGAGGGGAATTCCAATTCCAAAAGAAACAAATACTGATTACAGATATATAGAACAAGAAAAGCGAATTGAAATGGACCCTATAAACCCGATATCAATGGAGCAGCCAAAAGGTCCTAGCTTTACAGTAGAAAATGGACATTTGGTTAAATGGGCAAATTGGGTTTTCCATTTGAAGGCTGATCAAAGAGAAGGCATGGTTATTTCTAGAGCTATGGTTAAAGATTCAGAGACTGGAGTGCTAAGAAGTGTAATGTATAAAGGGTTTTGTTCAGAAATGTTTGTCCCTTACATGGACCCAGATGAGAATTGGTATTTTAAGTCATATATGGATGCTGGTGAGTTTGGTTTAGGGGCAACTGCTATGCCACTTGTGCCATTAAATGATTGCCCTAGGTTTTCACATTATATGGATGCTGTTTTTGTTTCTTCTGAAGGAACACCCTATGTTCAGCCCGATATGATTTGTCTGTTCGAAAGATATGCTGGGGATATTGGTTGGCGTCACTCCGAGATTCCTGTTAATGGTTTTAAGGTACCTAAAATCAATTACTGCATATTTTTGTTTGTGAAATTAGAGTATATATATAATAAGAGAGGGCACCAGCTCAATTCAGGGGTTTGACAAGATGTTAGGATACGTATATCAACTAACGTTGTTTTGCCACAAGTTCCAGTTGTGTAGTTTCTATCGCTTGTTGGATTTTTAGAGTAGCCTTTGCAAGTGAAAGCTAATGAGGAAACAAAAAAGATAATGCTTGTGCCTGTGTGGCCACTAAGCAATTATTCATTGGGGATGTGGAGTTTACAACATGCTTAATATTAGGTTTGATTTGGCCACAAGCAGGTAATCTAGTGTAACTTAACTTAAGCACTAAGATCTCCTTGAGTTTTGGAAGAGAGCCGGGGTTACATTAAAAAGAAAGTTTAGTTGAATTAAAAGGTATGGCGCTAGCGCGATTGCTCTCAGGTAATTGACGAATCAAGACGCAGATCTATAAGGTATGAACGAATGTAACATTTTACAACATTCACTGGACTGAATAGTTGTATGCTATAAAATATGCCTTTTTACTTAAATATGATTTTTAATCTTTGTTATGAGCATACATCATGTTAACTTTTGTCGAGTGTAGTATCGTATTTTGTTCTCAATTCGTATAAATAATGACGACAATTAGGTGGAAGGATATATTTGTTCTTGACAGTGAGTACTTGGAGATTTTATGACAAATTGAGAAGATTATGCTGATTCGTCAGGGCATATCTGGATTTGTATCGAAACAGTAATGGTATTTATTCTTAATTCTCCCCACATATTGCTTATTTATAAGTATTAAAGTGTAGATAAGGTTAATGTGTATTTGATGATTGATGGTAAAACTTCATAAGCCAATTTTCCAATATAATACTATCTTATAGGATCTTTTGGCAATGGTAATAGATTTTTAAAGATTATCCACCTCTTTCAGCAACTTCATTATAAAGATTAAATACTAAACTGTTAGTACTTGAGAGAAGAAGAATTATAGGGAGAAAATTAAGACACTAAAAGTGATCCGATGACATTTACAGCTTACTTATTCTTATAATTATGCACTAGAAAGTTGTTAAGTATATATTAATGGCCAGCAGGAAATAATCACCTCAAATGGTTTAGGTAGGGCTACCAAAGTTGATAATTATGAGCATAAAGAGATGACATAAATGTTAATGCGTGTATAAAATCTTGGCAGAAGAGAATTGGCTATAGTTCGAAAGTTTGGAAAAGTCTCCTGATTTAGACTGTTATTGGTTTATTTTGGTCCGATTTTTTTTTGCTTACTCAGGTTTGCCAAGCTAAATGTGGGTGTGATGGTCGTGCATTAGCAATCGTCTAAACTTACTCCCTAGTAAGCTTCTTATCGTTCCTTCATCCACCTTCATTGTTATATCTTATGCGTCATCTGATCCAATTTTGCGGAATTTTTATCAAATTGTGTACTTGATTTGTGTTATCACCACAGAAACATTGCGCAAACCGGAGACACGCAGAAAGACCGTATTTCCATCTTTGCGTAACGTCCCTGAAAGCTGGCTGAACAATGCAAAAAATTTCAACAGTATCAACCAAAAAATTTTACCGGAAATAGAGTGTATTGAGAGGATTGCAAAAATACGACACGGTAGAAATACACGGTATAAAAGATATAATTTCACTTCAATTTAGAGACTGTGGTCATTCTCTGCATGGCATCACTACGGCTAGGATAAATTATATTATGCATCTAACTATTGTACATGAGAAATTTCACTATTATGTATTATTTATCAAGATTAGTAATATTTTTGAGAATTCTAGGTTTTTCTTTCTACCTATTTTATATGACTCCACGATCCAGCTGAGTAGGATATTAAAATCACTCACTAACGTTCCTTTTCCGAATGTTAGGTGGTATTTGTATGATTAGCAGAACTAACCAGTGCCGTATAGAAATTTCAAATAAAAAATTAAGCACGTTTAAGAAAGAACATCATTATGATTTTCAACACAAACACAGAGAAAGCAAAACAGATACTTATTCAAAAGAATAACATCAAAAGATTAATCCCAGGGATATGACTAGGCTAATGTCAACATCCACGTTATTCTTACTTGACTGTTGGTGTTTTGTTGGTGCTTTTATTATTGCTTGAAGATCACCTGGGAATTAAGGTACATACACAAAAGTCATTTAGTTATGGCTCGAATGTTACCTTTGTCGCGAAATACTTGAGTAAGGTTTTACACAACGTTCCTATATTTTGTTAATTTAAGTTTTTTAATAAGTTACTGTATCACTTAATTCGACCTCACTGGACGGTTTTAAAGAATCACTTCAAAAGTTTAGGCATATGTGTGCACAAATCAGTCAAGTAAAATAGGCATTTCCATTCGATGGCATTGGAACTTCCAAGCTTACTATGCGTATTATTGCATACCTATTAATATTTTAAAGAGACTGTCAATTGGAATTGCTGTCTTTTGATTTGAGGCATGGATGACTGTGTATTCTTCCTGCATGACAGAACATTTAATTTATTAACCGTACTATAGAAGAATAGTTTGTTCTGCTTTGAAGACCCGACTCTCGTATCATATTCTTAGTTCATAGATCCTTTCTACACAACAATGCTACTTCCTTCTCCCATATACTCTTTTATAACGGATTGCTCCTCTCCTTTATTGTAATGAAAAAGTTCACAGAGGTTAATTAAATTTGACGATAATCATTTTTCTGAACTGGTAATAATACTATTATAACAGTATCCTAATTATTTTTCCTAAGTCTAGCATCTTAAAATCTCTAAAGAGATTTCTATAATAAAATTTGCTGTTAAAAAATTATAGTTACTCTGAAGTAGGTGGATTCCAAGATGGCAAATTCCAGAAAAAGCCTAATCACGATACTCTGAAAAGGTGTACATCCATTATACACTTAAAAACGTCGTCTATTCGAAATAGCCCTTGAATTAAACACCGTGCTCTTTGACTCACTTAGGGAAAGAAAAGGCTCGATCCCTAATGGAGGAATTTTCGTCTTTTTGCAAAAGTAACTTTTTTCTCACACACCAAGGATATTCACGTTCATTCCGATGATATTGAGCATTTTCTCGAACGCTTTCCTCTGCTTTGCTCAGCAGTAACAATTCTTTTCATTTTTATTGGTAAACAAACCAGCAATTGTCCCTAACCTATGCATCAGCTTTGCTAATTCAACACATTGCTCCAATATGATGAGGACAAACGCAAATGTTACTCCGAAGTTCAAGGACCTTACACAGTTTCTTTAGAAAAATCTCCTATAAATTATATCTCAAATTATTACAAGCATCTTTAAGAAACCCCAAAAACGTTTCAAGCAAATTTTACATCTTATATGCAAAGGTTCCAATTCATCACATTATTACCCTATTCATGGCAACTATTCCCGTTGTCTGAACCATCCACATCCAATAGCCTCTCATATACAAAGGACAAAATCAAATGTAAAGGCGGGCTCAAAGACTCCAAATCCCATCTGTTTTCTAATGTTTCTTGATAAAAAAATTTAACTGTTATCTATAGCCCTCTTTTTGTGGTCCTTCTAAACAAGTTTCCTAAGGCCTAATTACCAAACTTTCTTTTTGAAAGCTAGCTTATGATCTATGCGAGCCTCTGAAAAAAAAAGATAGCTTTGATTTGTTTAGTTTATCGGTCAGCTCGTTGTATACAAATGCCAATAGGATAGCATTATAAGACCAACCCTTCATTTCTCACACCTTCGCTATATTCAAGCAATCAATGAGAGGAGGAAGGAAAAGTGGACTTGTGAACCAAGAAGGCAAGGGTAATTTATGTCATTTAGAGTCTATAATAATTTGGGTTCTAAAAAACTAGCACATTCTGGGCATCAAATGAATTTTCTGTGTACTTTTGACGAATTGTAGAGGGACCAATCGTGTTCAACATTCCGATGTATAGAATAATTCTACAAACAAGCTCCTAACTAAAATTCAGAAAGTCTACATCTATCGCTGCTCTTTCTGAAAGTAGTGTTGAAGTATAGTCAGGCGTGCTCCAATATACATTAATCTGACAATTATTCAAAGTTTTCAGGCCACTGTCTTAAACAGAAGGGAGGTCTCACTTTTGCGACACTGTCATCTTTCTAATATTAGCCAAGAAGGGATGCTTTGTCCAACTTATCAGATTGATCCTTGACGACATGGAAACCCCCTAACGAGACCTTAGGCTGCCGAGGTTTTCGGATAAATTCTGGGTTTCATTGTTCTTCATGAGACAAATAGAGAGAGATTCTAAGATTTCGGTCAACAAGTGTTATATCAAGGATGACCAATACCCCTATTGATCCAGGCGTTCTCTAGCATCAGGAAGCTATATATTCCAGCCACTGAACCGGCAGATAAACATATCATTTCATCAATCGACGACCCACTTGAGTATAGAAGGCAAACACATAGGTCACCCAATGGTCCAGACCTTGCTCATATCTACGAGCACACAAGAAATCAAATAGAAAAAGATTAGAGGAAAGTTATATCCAATAATTTTCTGATACAGGTAGTACAGATTGTGTCCCGAATTCGCAGATACATTCTCCAAAAGAAACAAATCATCTTGAGGCTAGCCACGCACAAAATACTATTTTACGCAACGCTATAGACAATTCAAAAAAAAGTTTCGATACATATGCAAATGTTAATGTCGATCCCCTATAACAATAGCCCAATAAATGCCGCAATTTTAGGAATTCGACTAGTGGAGAGCTGCGTAACACGAGAGAGAATAAGGTTTCCGTATTCCGCTTTGTCAACAAAGATTTAGAAAATATTGGAGGTGCATATGCTATGCGTTAGTAAATGTGGTCACATTATTTGGGCGTTGGTCTATTCGGCAGATTGCATTAGCACATGGTGTTTCTCGACCTATCCAAAAACGATTACGAACGCGATGGGAATAATAGAAATTATAATATTCGAGATTTTAACATGGAGACATAGCTTCATTGCCGTTAACAAGTCTCTATGACAGATTAGAAGAATGGACTAGGCAAGTCTCGCTTAATGGCAACAATATTATGAATTTGCCAAAAGTGTCAACTGTAAACTAATAAGAGTGGTGTGTCTAAGATAGGGTTAAAAGTTGTTACTACGAAGACAACACAAAACATAGAGCGGTACTGCGTAGGAAATTTTGTGTCCAGTCACCCAAATAAGCATGGACCCAGATTGGAGACGACAAATTATTCGTATTTGTATTATATAGAGTGCATATATGGATATTAGCTAGATTAAAACAAGTGTAGTATTGGTAGAGCTTTATCTGAGGGGACTCAACAAGAAGGCCCCGCTATGTCCACTTTGTTGCTGATCTGCACAATATATATAAGAATTCTCTGCCCCTATCACGCGTTATTTCATTCATTACTATTCATTAGGATCTAACGAGCCTCTTGTTGATGCTCATATTTATATCGGCTTATCATGAAAGGTAACCTATCCCTATTAAGTGTCTATCATGCCCAAAAGGAAGTTATGTAATTGATGTTCTGAATGCGTTGCTTTCGAAATATGTGAGATTAAGTGCGGGCGATTATGAGTTTGACCTGAGCGTGGTTCCCGACTAACCGTGTGAGATAGCCAATATATGCAAGAGGACCCTCGTATAAACAAAGTGGGGTTTTACCAATATACAAGCCAGTGGTGTATTCAACATCCACCTAAAATAAAAAATAGATACTCGTATGAATTTGAGCGATGTCTACTAAACTTTATATGTTATCTGTGAAAAATTAAGAAAACCAAGGGTAAAGTAATAAAGTACTCATTATCACAATAAAATAATTATATTAATAATATGTAGATATATGTATATTTATTTATCCAATAGGCAAATGGCTCTAAAGAAAATAAATAGATCGAAATATTCTAGGCTTACAGATCTACTTTTTAATTCTCTAATAAGGCTTAACCAAGAAATAAAAAAAAATGTAAGGATAGCAGATTTCTAGAGAAATTAACGGATACGCGATGACCCTAAAAATGTCCTTGGACCCAATTCTTACAGTATAGGGCGATCGATCAATCGGCTAGGCACGCATATCAGGATTTGGCCAAAGTGCGAGCTTCTATGGCTATTGTCACCAATAATACCTCTATTGATTGAGAAAATTCACAAACTGTGTAAAGGGATTGGTGTTAAGATTTCAGCTTATCTAACCGGCATAGTAATAAAAGAGCTTGGAAAACTCTTCTTTGTGTTGACCCTAAAGCAATGTTCTATTTATTTAAGTAACATTCACTTTAATGCACCTTCTTTGGCAGGCTATAAAGGATTAAGTTCCAAACTTTAAGCATTCCCACCTAAATGACAACTCCCAATGATCTCTCTATTTAGCGACCTTTAGGTCCATGCCCATTAACTCATGGCATCTATCAGCGACAAATGATAATGATCAACAAAGCCCAGGACTCCTCAAATCCACAATCACATGCACTCTCTTGTCATTCCAACATAACTCAAATGAGCGCGAATAAGGCAAGAAATCAAAGTTCGATCTACAGCGCGCTTTACGTCATTCCTGAAATCAAATTTGTCATACATTGATGCTACATGTTGATGTCATAGATTCCTACTACTTATCTACAGGTCCAACAAGCATATTCCATTCTCAGACTCACATTTGTCCACAACTAATTGATGACACTAATAACACGATTTTCATATAGAGTCTAGCAAGGTTCGTTTAGTCAGGAAACAGAAAATTTAATCCCTAGCGTCGAAACTTTAGACAAATAAAGAGAAAAATTTGCTATCTTCTCCTTACCATATAAAGTCGCCGATCGTGTATCAACGCTTAGTCTCTCGAGAGCACGAACACACTAGTGTTCTAAACGGAGCATGCACCTAGTCGACAACCGATGGCAAAAAATTAAGCCCCCACACTTAAAAGCTCTTGTATAAACTTGGACCCCTTTCAGACTTTTTTCACTTAGTGCCTTACCCCAATTTGTATACCCTTCAAAGAGAATCTCAGAGCGTTTGCTCAAGGAGATTGAAACCGGGGAAATGCCAGCGATCAGCAACCCTGCTGTGTACACAGATATAGCTCCCGTTCCATTCGGTGATACTTAGCAAGTCTAAGCTTTGCCTCCCAACCAGCAAAATACAAGTCTACCCTAGTACATCGTCATCATCTTCACGCGTCCTGACACTTATCTGAAAAAACGCCAGCAGAGTGACTATTTTCACCGAATACACTTACATCGAAATTCACACAATACAAACAATCGAGCCTTCGCTGTATCTCTATCCATCCTCACCATACATATCCACCATTTGATGCTACTCCTGTTTCCCTCACTAAGTGGCCAAAATTTCACACGAGCGTAAGCATCTTTAAGTGGAACGTTAATTTCTGAATACATTTCCCAGTATTTCCGCATAAAAAAACTCTAATAAAATGAATCTCGACTATTACCTACTGATTATCATATAGCTCAGTTGATGCCCCTAGGGAATCCATATCACTAACTCTTGCCGGAGGTATGTGCAAAAAAACACCATGCCTGCAACCTGAGTGGCATACTTTCCTTGGTGATATTTTCAACAATTCCGCAGGGCATCTTCATTGCATACTGTTATGAGCACCACTTCGACCTGAGTGGATCTTGTGAAAAACGATCTCTCATAAAGATCTCATTTACCATTCTGAGCTGAATTTCATTCCAAAATTTTCTGTTTATGTGTTTTCAACCTGTTTGATGCATTCATAGTTCTAGATCATATATCACTGTGGATTACATCTTTTGTAAGAGAACTGTTTGTTACTTAAACAAAGAGTGATTAATTTAAACCTAGATCGTACATTATATTTACTAAGAGAAGATCTTTCTTACCAAACGAGACATATATCTTCTATCTATGCGCCAAATAATTGACGTTCAAACTTGAGGATTCTCCGATTTAGTCACCAAATACCCTCGATTATTTTCCATAAGAGGATCTTCTTGCCAACTGTGTCAATGCACAACAACATGTGTTCTCATTCTTTAGCTTTCTCTGATCTAAAGTTGGGCTCTCTGTTCAATTTCTTAGAAGAACAACACAAGTCTCTAATTTTCTGGTGTAGACGAGCTCTAAACCGTAACACCAATTTGAACGCATGACAGCAGATTATGCCTAGTGCCCTGATCTGCCGGGCCCACCATGCTTAGTATATTCCTAGATACAACCTCGGGCAACACCGAGAGGTCACGGGGCCACACTGTTGTTTTAACGCCATCAGGAGCTTGAAGGACATCATGGCCCCAATGAATCTTCTTAATCAATGCGGCACGAAAATACGATATGATTATATTATGATTTTAGAGTAATGATTGATTGACATTAAGTTAGTACCAAAAAATAACCCGACGAAGAAAATAATGGACACAAAAAACAGAAATAATATAAAATATTAGAGAAAAGGGTAAAAAAAAAAAAAAAAAAAAAAAATTTAGACACTCCAAATGTAAGTATCCGTTGTTGTTAATAAGGTCCAGAGGTTATTTTAATTTTTAAAAAATTCTAAATGAGTATTCTGCTGCTACTAGTGCGCCATGATTCTTTTGTGAATATCTTATTTTGGGAGTGGTGGGCCGGCGAGTCTTTGTCCGTTACGCGAATCTCAATATTCCAGATCCAGATACCAACTAATGCTCGAAGATTCTAATATTTGGCTCCACCAGATATTATTGTATTGTATTATGCATAGATTTCTCTTTGTAGTTAGTAATAGCCAGAAATAATATAGGAAAAATACTATGCAAGACGTTGATTGCGGACAATTATTTTGTGTTTTCCAATAAAAACAAATAAATTATTTATCATTAAATCTTGAAATCACACAAAATAAATCTGATAATGCAAGTAGTAGTAATTAAGTATTCATGTTATTTTTATTAATTATTAATTATGAATTGTTGATCTAAAAAGAGTTTATATTACGTACACTTGGAATTATTAAATTTATATTTTCATATTAATGTGAGTTTTTAATAAAAAATTTGTGCTAGCAGATTTATAATTTTAAGATGGTCCATATATAATTATCCTAAACTTAATGATGGATGCGCAGGGTTGGAAAAATATATAGTATTATTCATGCCATTGATTTAGCAAATTAATGAAATAAAGATACTAGCTTAGTATTTATACATGTCTATTTATGGATGGAAGCTTAAAAAAATTTGAGAAATTGTGTCCAATTAGACTTTTGAGAATCAAGATTCATTTTCCAAAATCCCTTTTATCTTCTTTTAGAACCTAACACAAAACATTTTTTCTTTTAACACTCAACATAAAATATCAGACACTGATTCCTAGTAGTGCCAGGTGTTTTTTAGGCCACGAAAGCATATAGTATGCTTTTGCGAGTGTACACCTCAATGTCATCACTTGTCATATTGGCACTTTCCTTCTAAATTAGTCCCTCCATTAGCTCTCTGTCACTCTTATCCATTTCTTTCCATTCAGTTCCATCCCTTAATATTACAACCCATAACAAACAGCTGAGATAGCAGTAATTAAGAGTGAAGTTCATGGAATCAAGAAACTTCCTCCGTTTCCTCCTAATCTTTGCAAGTGGAGCTCTTCTTTTACTCTTCACTTGGACTCATCTCCCCTACGCTACACCCCCTACCACGGCTGACTTCCTCGACTGTGCCACCGCCACCACCTCCCTTTGGTGCACCAGCTCCAAAAACCGTTTCCAATCCAAAAATATCCTCAAGAAACCGCCAAGACCCACTCGCCAACACAACCATGACTCCGACGTCCCCCACCATCCGCTTGATCCTTTAACCATTAAAGAACTTAACAAAGTCCGTACAATCCTATCATCGCATCAGCTGTTCAAGTCGTCATCTTCCTTTGCTCTTCACTCTGTAGTCTTGGAAGAGCCAGATAAGTCGCTTGTTCTTAGATGGCGAAAGGGAGATCCCATGTTGCCAAGAAAGGCTGCCGTGGTCGCACGTGTCAACGGCCAATCACACGTGCTAACGGTGGACTTAACTACGAGCGAGGTTGACATACAAGAAACGAATCCACTATCCGGTTATCCGACGATGACGATAGAGGATATGACTACAGCGACATGGGCTCCACTATCAAACGCTGATTTCAACCGTACGATCATCCAGCGTGGAGTTGCTCTTAAGGATCTGGCTTGCCTGCCCATATCTCTAGGCTGGTATGGTAAAAATGAAGAGAACAGGAGATTAATTAAGGTACAGTGCTATTCCATGAAGGGCACTGCAAACTTTTACATGAGGCCAATAGAAGGGTTGACTGTTCTGCTTGACATGGACACTAAAGAGGTAGTGGAGATATCAGACAAAGGAAGGAACATACCCATACCGAAGGCCGCCAATACAGATTATCTTTACTCCACCGTTAAAGTCAACCAACAGATGAAGCTGGTCAATCCGATTTCCATAGAGCAACCAAAGGGGCCGAGTTTTACTGTAGAAGATAATCACTTGGTTAAATGGGCAAACTGGGAATTTCACCTTAAACCCGACCCGAGAGCTGGGGTTATTATTTCTGGCGCTAAGGTCCAGGACCCGGATACTGGAGAGACGAGGAACGTGATGTACAAAGGGTTTACATCAGAGTTATTCGTGCCATATATGGACCCTACTGACGCGTGGTATTTTAAGACTTACATGGATGCGGGTGAATACGGGTTCGGATTGCAGGCCATGCCCCTTGACCCGCTTAATGATTGTCCCCGGAATGCCTACTACATGGACGGAGTGTTTCCCGCCGGTGATGGAACGCCATATATCCGATCAAACATGATTTGCGTGTTTGAGAGTTATACTGGTGACATCGGGTGGCGGCACTCCGAAAGCCCGATTACCGGTATGGAGGTAAGACTACTTCGAAAGACACTGTACAGTTAATGCAATCTAACTATTAAACAAAAAAATTGCAGGTTTAATATGCAAATTTTTTATACTGATTATTTTTTATTCCAAAAAAAAAAAAAAGAAACAGTATGGAAAAAACTTGCAGCTCTTATTTGCTGATAACATTAGCACTAAAATTGTTGTTGTCGTTTCTTTTGTTTTTGTTTGACAGATTAGAGAAGTCAGGCCAAAAGTGACGCTTGTGGTGAGAATGGCAGCATCAGTTGCTAACTATGATTATATAGTTGATTGGGAGTTCCAGATAGATGGGCTAATCAGAATTAAGGTTAGTGATTATATATATATATATCTGCTGTTACAATTATATTATAAGCCCAGTTAGAGAAGAACTATAAAGCTTACATCTTTATGTTCTTTTACCTTTTTCAAAAGCATCTTTCTGTTCTTTGAAAATATCAGAAAAGATGCAATCTTTATCAATCAGCATCAGCTCCACTTGCTGGGGTGGAAAAAATTTCAATACGGACTTCTTGCCTCTAGTCACTATAATTATTTTCTTGGAAATGTTTGAATTGGACTTTTCTTTGGCTAATCTGTGAAGCAAAATGGTCATTTGTCACAGGTTGGACTTAGTGGAATTCTGATGGTGAAAGGCACCTCATATGAAAACATGAATCAAGTAGCTGGCAAAGAAAATCTCTATGGTACCCTTTTATCAGAAAATGTGATCGGTGTCATCCATGACCATTATATCACATTTTATCTTGATATGGACGTTGATGGCTCTGATAATTCCTTTGTTAAGCTAAACGTCCAAAAGAAACGTACCTCACCTGGAGAATCACCTAGAAGAAGCTACTTGACAGCTAAAAGAAATGTTGCGAAGACTGAAAAAGACGCACAAATCCAACTCAAACTTTATGATCCGTCGGAGTTTCATGTGATTAATCCGAATAAAAAGACTCGTGTGGGAAACCCGGTTGGTTATAAAGTGGTGCCTGGTGGCACCGCTGCTAGCTTGCTTGACCTTGATGATCCTCCACAGAAACGTGGAGCATTTACAAATAATCAAATATGGGTCACTCCATATAATCGGAGCGAGCAATGGGCCGGCGGGTTATTTGTTTACCAGAGTCAAGGTGAAGACACTCTTGCTGTATGGTCCGACAGGTAAGAAATTTGGATAGTTTTTGTTCAAAAAGTAGGAAACTTTTTTTCAATGGTTAAAGAGTGATGTTGATTTTTTTTTTTTTGTTTTGAAGGGATCGTCCAATTGAGAACAAGGACATAGTAGTGTGGTACACATTAGGATTCCATCATATACCATGTCAGGAGGATTTTCCAATAATGCCAACAGTATCAGCCAGCTTTGATCTTAAGCCAGTCAATTTCTTTGAGAGCAACCCTATTCTTCGGATCCCACCAAATGTTGAGAAAGATTTGCCTGTTTGTAGACCTTCAGATTCTGCTTGAAGTGGCATAGTACCAAATAATTTGCATAATTTACAAATGTAGCAGGTTGTCCCATGGCTTGGGAAATAAAATTGCGTATGGTCTCCTTGTACAAATAGCATATATTAAATGAAAATATTGTCATGCTCTCAAATAATGTCATAAAAAATAATGATGAAACACTAATTTATTTTCAACCAAAATGCTGGTTTTACTATTTGATTTTACAATTATTTACATGGTACTGAACGCGTTTAATCGTTATATTAAGTTGTCTTGGTAATATCGATAAGATTATTAATCAATTCGCATACTTCAACTATAATTTTTTAATACTTAGTTCCATATTGTACTTTTCAGTTTTTAATTAGGATTGAGATACTAAAGTAACCCCAAGAACTGCAGTTAGCTAATTATACATTGTCCCCATGCTCTTTTCAACCCTATAAGAGCTTCCACCAGTCATTTGTATTGCGCTTTAAACAGTGGCCATGATCAAGAAATGATACAAAAGATGAAAAAGACATCCAAATTGTACGTGATTGGTGATTTTTGCATGCTCTTTTTGTGCTGATTGCGGGTAAAAAATCATAAGAAATTAAATTAACGATTATGCCAAAAGTTGCTAATAACGATTAGTGTGATATTATATCCATCAACCACGTATAATGTGTGTCCACATGCAGATAATTGTATATAGTTATGATGAGTCAAGCTTCCACTCACCGTGAACATCATATAGGAACTAAAAATAAAATTAGAAAAAAGAACAGCGATAATATCATGATATTATCTCAACACATTTAGAAATAAGATTAGGTTTAAATGATCTCATACACATAAGGTTTCTATCACATACCATGTCGTGAAGATTTCCCATTAATGCCAGCAGCAGTATCAGAAAGCTTTGATCTAAAAAACCAGCAATCTTATGCTTGACAGTAAGCCCACATCAGATTCATTACAAGAACCCAGAATACAAAAATTATAACAAAAGCCCACCATCTATGTTCATGTAGATGGAAAATCGGAAGAGCTCAAGGAGTAGCTCACAAGTTAAATGGATTGGCCTAGATTTCTTATCAATTCTTGTATAAAATCACTTAATATTGAGAATATTAACCTAAGTAAATCTTTTTATCTTTGGTACAATCATGGACTATACAACAAAAGTAACCTCTCTTTGAAGTAACATTTACTAAATTAATGAAAATTATTGGGTCGAAAGTGTTCAAACTCTAAATCTCCCAATATTTTACATTACTATTATTCTTTTATTTTCATTTTTACAGAAAAACCAAAATAAATGTCTACAGTCACTGTTGCTATCTATGCATAGAGGGCTAAGTTGGACAATCTAGGAGTCGGAATAACCATCAGAGGAGTAGCTTTCTCATGAACAATCCCAAACTTCTCTGAAGTATCAGGCTTTTCACCATTCGGCAATTCCCAATTAAACATATGCAAGAATGTGGCCATCACATACATTACCATTCTTTCAGCTAAAGGAAGTCCTGCACAAACCCTCCTACCAGACCCAAATGGTAAATACTGCAAATGATTCCCATTATAATCCAACTCACTGCCCTTTCCATCCAAAAACCTCGCTGGTTCAAACTCTGTAGGGTTGTCCCAAAACTCAGGGTCCTTGTGCAGAGCCCAAGCATTCAAGAAAACCGTAGCGCCCTTTGGGATGGTGTAGCCACCGACGTTGCAGGAGTCTTTAGGGCAACGTGGCAGGAGTAATGGTGCCACCGGATGAAATCTTAGTGCTTCTTTTACAATTGCATGTAAATATGGCAATTCTTGAATGTGGGATTCTTCAACTAGGTTGTTGGCTCCTACTACTTTTGTTAATTCTTGTTGAGCTTTCTTTAGCATTTGGGGATGAAGCATCAATTCTGTCATGGTCCACTCTACTGTTCTTGAAGATGTGTCGGTTCCACCAATTACACTATTCTGTTAAAAAGAGAAAGAACGAAGGATATGTATATACTTGTTTTTGGTTATTATTATTATTTGGATGATAAATAAATAAAACAAAAAAAGGATACAAACAAAGAAAAAATGGAGCATGGGCCAATCAAAATTTTCAAAAATTACGATGTCCATAAAAAATTCACTATTTTGTAAAGCCAAATTCAAATAAAAAAATCTATGGGCAATATCCCCTCCTTCTCCCAATGGTCACGAACTGATTTTTGTTTCTGCATAGTATACCAATATCTCCTCACATGTTACCACTTGATTTAACTTTTGTGAAAGGAGTTCATCATAAAAGAAATAAATTCTCCTCTACTTAAAACTCTTTAAATTTTTTGAAGCGAAAAGTTTTGAGTTTGAATCGTTAAAAAAATTTCAGTAACTTATAACTTAAAGAGAGTGTTACTCATTTCTATATATTGTGTAACGCACGTATTATTTTAGTTCGTAGAGTCTCCTAATCAATAAAAAAAAAAAAACATAATATATGATCATAATTTCTAATGAAATATCCTAAAATCAAGAATAAAAAAGTTAAAATGACGCATGCAGGAGACGAAAAAAGAGATTATTTACCATAAGCAAGCCCTTAATTTGTTGTCTGGAAATTGATCTTCCAGTTTCTTGATCTTTAAACTCTAACAAGAAATGCATGAAGTCCTTTCTTTCTTTATTTACCTCCACCTTTTCTTTTCCTTGCGTCAACTCTTTCTTCATTACATACTTATCTATAACATAATCATATATATCCTCAATCTTTTGCGATGCCTCCTTCATTTCCCTCTCCACCCCTTGAATATCAAATCTTGCAAGAAACGGGAATAAATCTGAAACATTTGGCTTTCCTAAAATCTGAACCAGCTCTGCCGTTGCGGACCTAAACTTAGCTCCAACACTAATCTCCTCTTCTCCGTCAAGGGTGGCACCCCAAAACATTCCTGACATCATGTTAATTATTGTCAAAAATATCAATTCTCCAAAATTAATAGCCTTTCCGCTTTTCTTCTCAAACAAATCTTTTACACTTTTCCTGACTTTGTTTCTCCTAAGTGGATAAAACGACTCAAGATTTGCATTGCTCTGCATCTCACGGACGAATATCTTGCGCAGCACCCGCCATTCGGGACCATACGGTGCAAATGCTATGTCGTTTCCACCGTATGAGAAGGTTTTTGCTGCGACAGATGGAATTCTGTTAGCGAATGTAATGTCATTTTGACGTACGATTTCTCTTATCAGAGTTTGAGAGCTCACTACGACACATAATTTTTGTCCAATTGAGAGCTTGTAGATTGGACCGTATTTTTGAGCCAGTTGCATGAAGAGTTGGTGCATATTGTGGCGAATAAAAGGAAGATAGCCAACTATTGGAAGGCCAAGTGGCCCTGGTGGCAACCGAACCTTAGGTTTTGAATTCTTGAATGCCCACAAGAGTAAACAAGCTAATAATATGGGAACTGATAAAGAAATGAAGAGTGATGATTCAATTTGGTGCTGTTGCTCTTTGACATTGAAAATCCATGAATTGAACCAGTTATAGATTGTCTTTGCGAGGTTACAGACAGACATTGGAGAAAGAGAATTGTAATGAAAAGATTGAGTGGAGGTAATTATGGATTGAGTACTCAGTAGTCTCTCTAATTATATACAGTTGTGAGCTTGGAATTAAACTCAGGCTATTGTTTTGTTGTCGCCCAAAAATAGCTTACGTATATGTTTTCAATTATGATTTTTTAAAAAAAATAATCTAATAGTAAATTAATTTTCAATATTAGGTTCTGATTCAATTCAGTCAATTTAAACTAGAATTTTTCGGTTTCAGTCAACTTTGGCAGGCTCTATGGTTAAATTAATTCTGCAATTGCTAAGGAAATGTCCAAGAAAATAATATTTAAAAGCTTGAAATGTCATTTCTTGCTAACCGTCTATAGTTTTTAATTGCACGCTTTTCCAATAATTACAGAATCCAATTGTAAATTTGGCCGGCTCCATAATTTATTCTGCATTTGATAAGGAAATGTCCAAGACAATATTGTTTTTAATGCTTGGAACCTAATCCTTTCTCATTCTTGGTTTAAAACTTTTAAAATAAAATGAATGATTAATATATCAAGATTTTAATTAATTTTTATTAGACTTTTTTCCACCATTTAATAAATTCAATTAATATTAATATTTACATACGTTACTATATAAAAGTATCATGAAAAAGTAAAAAAAAAAAAAAAGTTCAAAAATATAAATGAAACTCTTATTTTGAAATATCTAAAAGAATAAATGAAAATTATAATTTTAGATTATCGTGGAATCGGTGTTTGTTGTCTTTTCCATAGATGTGGACAGGAGCACAATAATTCAACATCTTTCGACAAAATTGGATGTAATAGTACATCACTAACCTTACTCTCGTCCGGATGTATTCAAAACCAGCTAAAATATGTAGAGTTGTTTTTTATTTTTTTATTTTCCAAAATTTAGCTGTTGAATCACAATTTATATATTATTTAGTAAAATTAAGTTCGATATAATCAAAACCAAGTAAATGTAAATTTAAGCCAAAAAATACTAGCATCTTTTTTTTTTTTTTTTTTTTTTTTTTTTTAAATGTAAGATTTAGGCCAAAAAATACTAGCATCCTTTTTTTTTTTTTTTTTTTTTTTTTTTTTTGGAACGTTGTGAAATTTTTTTTTTTTTTTTTTTTTTTTTTTTTTTTTGGAAACGTTGAAATTTTTAAATGAAAAAAAAAATAGTAAAAGCTATTCTTATAAATATGCACTTATGTAAGGATAAATTTAGTAGTTAACTATATTTTATTTTAAAATAAATGTATATTATTAATTTTCTGTCTTACTTTAATAGATTATCATATCATGTCATGTGTGAAAATTTTCTAATACATCCATTTCACCTTTTTGAATTTTTTTTTTCCTGACATTGACACGCTATGCCTCAAAGATTGAGAGGAAGAAAATTATAGATAAGACAGGAAGTCATATATATAATCTTAACCAAGTTTCGTAATTGGCTATAATTTTATTTTGACTATTTAGCTATTATATTTTGTACATAAAATAATTAGAGTCCTGTCATATGTGTTTATAGATGTAAAGTGGAGTGTGGACCGACGAAAATGATATTTCACCATTTTTGAACTTGTCCGGCTACGCATAAATCAAGGTAATAATAATAATAAAAAAAAAAGCACTTAAGGAAATTTAAATTACACTCAATATATGTATGGATACGATTTATACGAAGCAGGATAATATATAGACAACTGGCGGCACATAAATATGCATATGATGCAAAGAAATAGATACGTCTTCTTCTAGTACAAGTCCGCATTAGAGAGCCTAGGTTTAGGTACAAGAATTAAGGACTTCATTTTCTTGACGACTATACCAAATTTGTCTGATAATTCTAGTTCAGTACCTTGTGGTAATTTCCATTCAAATGAATGCAAGAATGAAGCCAAAACGTACATAACCATCCGTTCTGCTAATGGAATTCCTGCACAAACTCTCCTTCCTGATCCAAGTGGTAAGTACTGAAAATTGTTGCCAGAATAATCAAATTTGCTAGATTCACTAATTAAGAACCTCTCAGGTATAAATTCCAAGGGATTGTCCCAAAAAAGGGGATCCCTATGGATAGCATAAACATTGACAAAAACAGCAGTACCCTTGGGGAAGCCAAAACGTACATAACCATCCGTTCTGCTAATGGAATTCCTGCACAAACTCTCCTTCCTGATCCAAGTGGTAAGTACTGAAAATTGTTGCCAGAATAATCAAATTTGCTAGATTCACTAATTAAGAACCTCTCAGGTATAAATTCCAAGGGATTGTCCCAAAAAAGGGGATCCCTATGGATAGCATAAACATTGACAAAAACAGCAGTACCCTTGGGTATGGTATAGCCACCTAATGTAGTTGATTGACTTGAAACATGAGGCAGTAACAGAGGAAGTGCAGGGTGCAAACGTAATGTCTCCTTGAGGACAGCATCTAAATATTTCAACTTGTGCAAATGGGAATCTTCTACAGTGTTGTTAATTCCAACGACTTCATCTAATTCTTGATAGACTTTCTTCATTACTTCTTGATGTAGCATTATCTCTGCCATTGCCCATTCTAGCATGGTCGATGATGTGTCAGTGCCACCCACCATAATGTCCTATCAAGAACAGAATTTATGAAGCACCAAAATTGTAGTAAGAAAATGTCTAACTCGTAACATATATTGTTTTAACAGGAAAAGAAAAAGAAATGAAAAAACCAAAAATTAATAAATTAAGAATAATCATACTAATAGCACAGCTTTGAGTTGATCGGTAGTGATAGATGTTTCAGAATCTCCATTCTTGTTAAAATCCAAAAGAATCTGCAAGAAGTCTTTCTTCCTCATCTTGCTCTTATCTTCTTCAACACCATCGATATACAAACGTTGCTCTATTATAGAATTAAGAATCTCATCAATACGTGAAAGTACATTTCTTGCTTGACTTTCTATACCTTGCAAATCAAACCTTGCAAGAATCGGAAAAAGATAAAAAATATTAGGCCTTCCTATAAGTACCATAATTTCCCCTGCCAATTTCCTGAACTCTGAAAGAGAACTTATAGCTTTCTCTCCTGTAATCATTCCACCGCACAACATTCTGATAGCAGAATTTTCAGTTATCTCAAATACCAATTCACCAAAGTCTATTGACAGGTTATCACCAGCTTTTTTAAACACATCTCTTATACCTTTCTCCACTTCGTGCTTCCTCATGGGATAACAAGCTTCAATATTTGAATTACTTAACATTTCTCGAACAAAAACTTTTCTCATCTTGCTCCATTCAGGACCGTACGATGACCATGATATCTCATTTCCACCATAAGTGACAACCTTTGCAGCTATTGGCGGGTCTCTGTTGGCAAAAATCTTATCTTTATCACGGAAAACTTCTTTGGCTAGCGATGGAGTGCTTACAACTACGTGTAATTTGTTCCCAAGCCAGAGTTTGTAGATAGGGCCATATAATTGAGCTAATTCTGTGAACTCTTTGTGGAGGAAAGTGCCCAGGAATGGAAGGTAACCAACTAACGGCAAGCCCCGAGGGCCTGGAGGCAATGGAGGGATTAGTTTCTTTAATTGCTTGAGTTTCCATAATAAGCAGAAGAGTGTAACTATTGTGACTGTTATGGTAATTGCTGCTTTGAAAATGTTATGCCTCTCGTTGCTGCTAGAAGCCCAGTACCAGGACCATAAACTATTAGCCATTTTCAAAGTTTTTGAGAGTGATATTGAAGATGGAAATGGGATCCAATTAGCTAGAGCTGCTCTTTTATGAACATATTGTAAAACTCTCATTTTTTTTTTTTTTTTTGTTAAAAAGAAGAAGAAACCACTGTTTAACTCAATTATATTAAAACTGTATTGTCTTTTTTCGATCTGTTGGATAGACTGATAAAAAAAATTATATTATCTTTCTACCCTAAGATATTTATATATAAAGAATATTTTATAGATATGCATTGATGATAGGCCAAATAAATAGATTGTCCACTGAACTTTTAAAAAATAATCATACGGTACTTCTAACTTTATAGGGAACCATTTATGCATCTAAAGCTAATGTTTTTGACCATTTAAGCACCTGTCAAATCTGGTATAAGTGCATCCTTTTCAAATATGTAGACTACGATAAATAATTTAAAGTAGAACAAATTTTAATTTTCAGATCAGCAATCTAAAAAAAAAAGATAAATAATACAACCACCGATCTCAAGCCCCAACAACCCTTTATTTTCTTCCATGGAAACCTCACACTCCTTATTAAACACACCAGATTCCAAAGACAAACCAAAATCCAACAGTAGAAATAGAAGCCAAACAGAATGAATTTGAAGAAGAAGAAGAAGAAGAAACTGCTAAAGTTAGCGATCGAGTTTTACTGATTTGATGTAAGATTTTAGGATCTGGAGGGAGTTCTTTTATGTGAGGGATCCATGAATTTAGAATACGAGGGATCCATGAATTTAGAATACGCGTCTGATGAGCCAAAAAAAAGCATCATTTTTCTCTTACTCCTCTGAGTTCTCTCACTCTCTAATGGTTGATATTGTGCAACAGGCAATGAAAAAGTTTTATTTATAATGAAATTTTATTTGTTGGAGCTTTCTCTTTTATAATTATATGATAAATCTATATATTTCAAACTAGATCAGGATTAAAGATTTTTACTTTTCAGAAATGTAGAATTGAGAGTTGGATCTAAATTTTTTTATAGAACTAAAAAAACAAATTTGAATTTTTTCATAGAACTAAAGAAAAAAGGGAGAAAATTTGCACTAAAACGATACCATTTAATCTATGTTGACAAAACTTTTTCACATCAGTAGAAATATATTCCTTTTACGCTCCATTATGCGATTGTATTTACACTCTGAGTCAGCTTGAAAAAGTTGCTTAACTGGTGTAAAGAAATTAATCGAATGTGCATAAATAATTCCCTGCAACATTAAGGATGCGTTATGATTATTTTTCAAAAATTTAAATATATATCGAAAGTTGAAACATATAAAAAGTTCAAATGGAATATATGTATTTGGCATTTGATGTGCCAAAAAACACATTAAAACTTTTACATAACAATTTAATACATTATTATAAGTTACATCACATTCTCAAAATAAGTAAATAAATTACGTCACAAACTCATTAAAAGGGTGAGCACATGAACTTGGATACAACGTTTAAGTATCAGCCTTAGTCATCTTGGGTAGAGGTCATTTGTGCATAAAAAATATTTTCAAAATAATACAATTATAAATTTTAATTTCGATTTGAACCAATTATTAAATTTTAAGTGCTTTAATTATTAAATTAATTGTGATCAAACTATTCATATATACAATATCACTTTATTTATAATAATAAGTTGAACTAAATTTGTTGAGGATTATGTAATAATTATGGACATCGAATTTTTAAATTAATTTTTAAAAACTTGCAAGTAGTAGAATTTCAATAAAGTTAAATTCAAACTTCAAATTCACGCGAAAGATTTTTGAGAAATATACATGACGAATGTAAAATTTTTAAAAATAATAAAATAAAATTTAGAATTTTAGTATTTTAAGATTTTAGGTAAGGATTTTTAGGAGTTTATGAAATACCCCGAATTTTTATTTTCAAAACATTTTCCAATTTAATTTAACGAACCGACAGCCTGGAAATTGCTATTAATATTTTAGTGCGAATACAAAATAATTAAAATACAAATTTAGAATTTTAAGTATTTTAAGATTTTAGGTAAGGCATTTTTCAGGAGTTTATGAAATACCCCGAAATTTCTATTTTCAACAACATTTTCCAAATTTAATTTTAACGAACCGACAGCCTGAAAAATTGCTAATTAATATTTTAGTCCGCGACGAAGAAAATTAAAAACTATAAGAGACAATCGAATCGAAAACCGATTGAAAAAGCCGAAACCGGGATGGAAAATCGAAAGATTTGGTGCCGAATCGAACCGAATCGAACCGCGTTCGACCCAAACCATTCTTAGAAACATCACTAATTTCCCTTATCTTCAACGCCTATCTCTCTTCACTCTCACCATTTTCTATTCCACCTCCAGCCCACCCACCGCACCACCAGCACCATCTCCATCTCTTCTTCTTTTTCATTCTTCTTTCTATCTTCTTTCTTACTTTTCCTATTTTTCTTCTTTCTTTCCCTTCTTTCTTTCCCCTCAACTGGGTCGTGCGTCGCACTGCCCAGCGACATTGCACAGCAGCTCCAGGCAAGCCTGCTGACCACCGTGGATTTTGGCGCCATCATGCCGCCAGCATCCAGCGTGCCTCCGAACCACCAGACCAGCCACTGCCTCTTCCGATCCGGCACACGTGGCAATTTCCGATCTAGCAGAAATTCAACAAAAATAAATTAATATTGGGGTATATAATTAATTTAAATATATACTTTAGTAATGAAAAATTTAATATTATTAAATTGATAGTTTACTAAATTATAGTTAGTTACTTTTAATTAATAGTTTGACTAATAGTTAATTGTAGTAAAATAAGTTAATTTAAAGAATTATAATTTTTTATATTGAATTTAATTAAATTTAGTAATATTACAGTTAATGAAATTAATTTTATTACTATGTAGTCAAATTAGGTTATCAGTTAGTCATTGTTTTAGTTAACGGCTAGTTTAAATTAAATTAATTTATTATTAATTTTGAGTTAATTAAATTTGGTTTAATTAATATTGATAATTGTGAGTTAAGTTAACAGTGTTTTATAATTTTAGTATTGATTTAATTAAAGTAGTTTAAATATAATGTTATTGTAATGTATAATTTGGATTGTGTGGTGATGTTGAGATTGGAGGAGAATGGGAAAATGTTGTTTGATTAATTGCCCGACGGATGGGCCGTATGGATTGAATATTTGTGAAATTATTGATATTTTAATAGGTAGATAGTCAAATTTTTAAGGGAGATGATGCCGAAATTTCGGTAGAAAAATAAAAATAAATTTGGTATAAAAATAAAATAAATTTCGGTAGAAGAAAATAAATAAACTAGAGTTAGATAAAATAAAATAAAAAAATTAAAATATAGAATAAGATTATTAGAGTGATAAATAAAATTAAGGAAACCCAATATCTGTATCAATAAATATATATAATATATAGTTTTTAAATTAATAAAATGAAAATTAAATGACTGCCAAAACTAGTAAACGAAATATAAGATAAATAGCTATAGAGCCTCAAAAAGTGGTAACGAATGCAAAGTATATTTATGAGGTTAGGATTTTTATACAGGATTTTCTTTCTAGATGTGTATGAGCTCTGGGATGGTGAGACAAAAGCTAGAAGGATGCAGTACTAGAGATAGTCCTTTAGAGGGCAATAAAGAACTGTGAGTAGTGTTAGATAATTCGCCTCATCCGCCTGCATTCATGCATTCTCAGCTAAATGTTATCATGCATTATTTTATTGAATTGCCATATTATGATGCACTATTTGTTGATAGTAAAAATTGTTTGATTACTTGTGCTCATATGGAATATACTCGTTGCCTTGTTTGTGTGGAAGGGTGATAGTGGACCCACCATGGGTTTGTTGGAGGACGGGTCTGTTGATATGGATCACTCGAATATGATATGATATTTGACCAGGCTCGGCCGGGAAAAATGGGAGCATCGGCGCCCCGGAATGTGGCACCTGATTTTTTGATATGGATTGTATGGAAAACCACAGGATGGCTATCTTGAATTTGTTGCGCACCTGATATCTTAGATTTGATGTAGCCCGCAGCAGGTGGCCTCCTGTTGTGAGCACTTGATGATCTAAGATTAGGCATGGGACCACCGGGTTGCCTCCTCGTGAGGTATGCGAAAAGAAAAGAGAGAATAGAAAAACAATGAGGGGACTGAGTCAGTGAGAATTAGACCAGTGGCCGATATGAGGGAGATCGGCTCCCCGGTGCACATGGTATAGGAGGGCGACCATTGTGTGAGGAACGGAGCTCGTTGGGGTTCAGGTGGTCCACTGACTAATTCACGTTGAAATGGATTAATATGAAGTTGATGATACTTGTGATTGCGCATGTATTGCCATTGTGTGACATAACTGCCATGACAAATAATAAAACAGAAACAATAAAAATATTTTAGCATCTGTGTGACTGTGTGGGGTGAGAGGGTTATCTAACCCTACTCATTGAGTTTGGCGCTCACCCCTGCCTACTTTTTTTTTTCCAGGTAATAGAAAGAAAGGAAAGCCCTATGGAGTTGAAATACTTATTATAGAAGACTTTTAATGATAGAAATAACGATGTGAATGTAAAGGTAGAGTTCCGCAATTGTATTCCAGTTGGTTTGTAAAAATAAATAGTAAAAGTCCATATTAAATATATGAACTGCATTTTGAGTTAATGGGCCTGAATCTATAATTATGAATAGAAGGTGAGATTTAAATAAGTTATGCTTACTACGGGCTTCGGGGGCCTTAAGCCCACCCAGGTCCTAGTGCCGGTCCGGTCCATGGAAATGGGTCGTGACAACTTTCTTGGATCTGATAATCCTAAAACTCACATCAGCCCATTTCTCACCTTCTCTCTTCCGCTAGACATATTTTCTTCATCCCTCTCTCTAAATGGGTATCTAAATGAGACCAAATCCCTTCTCGCCATTATCAAATTTGTCCCAAACACTCTATCCAAGATTGGGTCTTTCGCTTTAATTTCATAATATTATCCAAAATAACAAGTTAGTACAGAAATAATAGGGAATTATAAAAAGAGTCCGGGTAACTGACGTTTCTAAAATAAATACTTTG